GTGGATCGCAACTTTTGGCGAGTCTGTCGTTCTCGTGTGTGGAGAGTGCGTCCTTGCATCGCCGGACTTTGAGCCATTTCAGCCCGCGTTGCACCGGTGAAAGTCAATTTGAAATTAGCAGAAACGCACGGCGTGTTGTCGGAGGGGTGGCAGGATCAGATCAGTAAGTTGAGGAGCAGCAGCTAACACAGTCAGGTAGGTTGCAGTTTGCGGATCGCTGACAGGCAAAATATCACTCGAGAGATTAACACTCCATCTGGCTGACGCGCATTCCGCGCGAATCTCTGCGCTGTGCGACGCTCGACCTCTTATCAGTCGCAATCGCAATCAGATGGTTGCCCGCATTTCATAAATGCTCGCGAATGAGAGACTGTGCTCGCTGCAAATATCTGGAGGAGGAAGCTGGTTCATTAAATCCGCCATCCAATTAGGGCTTGTGGAAGCTGGCAATTCTCAATGGAAGCTTCTTCAACTCAAGACATCAATTGGCATCTCCTCTTCTTCTATGTACTGCAACGCAACGCGACTAGTAAAATGTCTAGCTGCACGGATAGTGGCCCTGCGAACAAGTGGTAGGTGCAGGATCCGATCTTGAACCGGAGTCGCCGTACATAGACACTCAACACGCAGACAATAGAGTTCAGCGAAAGCCGGGGATGAGGAGCAACGATTGCTCAGGCATAGGCAAAAGGACGTTAAGATCAGCAATGCGATTGACGGGATCTCATTAAGACAGGGTCTGGATAACCCGGAAGCAACGTCGATATGCAAGCCCTGGCACGGAAAGCTCGTCCGCAAATTGCGGCACACACTGGAAATCATATCGGCACATCTTAGGTTTGGTAGGGGGTTCGCTCCCCCTTGGCCGTTGAAGGGGGCCTGGTCCTGTCTGTCTCTTGATGACCGACCTTAGCCAATGCAACTAAGCGGTCCAAAACCGCCGGACTAACACCATAGCAACACTACAGAAACCATCTAGATGCCGTAGTGTAATTGCTAAGAACGTTCTAAGACGATGGAGAACACTTGTCGTTGAAGAAGGTTGTGAAAAGCTACTTTGCAGATTCACAAGAAACGAACTTGCTCGTGGAGAAAGCCAGCCTACAATGACTCAGAAGTGCAAAGAGGGCACTTCTAGGTTGAGCCTTGAATTGCCGTAACTGGGTTACAAGAAACGAGTTTACAGTTTGGTCGGTCCTTTGGCAGTTGCATATCATGGTTGACCTCAACTACCGAGAACCTCAGTAAGAACTAAACACAAGGTCCAAAGCCAGAAATTGTTAAGACGGTCCGAACCTCCTCATGGTCGACTGAGACATAATTAGCTCGAATTTCTCGGGCTAATTCAAGAATTGGGGCAAAACAAAAATAGCAGCAGCACGGGCTGCTTAGGCTGGATGAGTGTGCTGTTGGGGGTTTGTGACTCTCTGTGCAGGCGGGATTCGATAGTGTGTCTGCAAGCGCTGGGCAGTGGCAGGAGTGTGATTGAGACCAAATTAACCCTCGAGGGCCTATTTTTGGGCTAATAGATGGGAAGAGCGGTTAATTAGCCCGCTTGATTTGGCAGGCTGGGTACATGGCAGACGATCGTCGGCGTCAGGAGCCGTGTCGGGCAGACTACTCGGTGCAGGAGGAGGATGCGGATACACGTGCCCGGCACGGAAGGATGAATTGGGAAAAAGCGAGGATGGATTCCCTCACCACAGGCAAGTTGCAGGGGCCCCCAAGCAGCAGTGCAGGTGCAATATGCCAGCAGGGGGCAGGGGTAGGTACCCTCTCTACCCCCCTGGTCCCCTGAGTGTGTCCTCTTCTGGTGAGTGATGATGATGATGAGATGGTGGTCATCTGGCTGCAATGCAAGACCCCGCGAACGACTACGACGAGGACGACGAGAAGAATGCGGGTTGAGAAGGTCGAAAAAGGTTGGCACACTCTGCCGGACGAGATCCCGGCTTGCGTGCATCATTGGCCAAAGCTCTGATCCCTGATGCCCTCCACGACAGCCTCATCCTTGCTAGCCTCGCTGCACGTTCTCTGAGCAGGAGCCAATCTGATCGGATTGCCGCCCTGCCAGTTTTCAGTGGAGCGGCCCTGTCGCTGAGCTGATCCCTGTGCCGTTGAATCGGTTGGTCCCGCGCGCCCCTGCTCCTGCACGAGCCCATTTTAGTCGTCACATTGCCCCATCGAATCAGACGTCCTTCTCCCGCTTTCTGCTACTGCACCTTTCTCCATGGGCAGCAAGCTGCAAAAGCAGACGATGCCACCACACGAACAGCAGTGACATCCACCCTCAATGAGCACCTGTATCTTGGTCGTGCCGCTGACCGTCACCTCGTGCTACTGCGATACCTTGCACGCAACGGGGAGCGAGGCGTTGTCCCCGCCACAACCCTAAATCACTTGCAGTGTTTGCCCTCGTAGGAGATGTATCGCCAGTAACACCCGGCCACGAGCAACTACCTTTCATCATGCCTCTCATGGTTGTACCTCCAGGGAGAGACAGCTTCCCAACCCCCATCCAGGAACACACTTGGACGACCTTCTTCCGCTGCTGTCCTACCAGACCTCGCGTAGGACAGCATTTGCGGAGCTGCTCCTCATGCCTACCCGGCCAGCCACGACAACTGCTGCCACTCGATTCTCACAACTGGTCATGCTGGCTGGCCAATCCAGTCCTGACCGCCATTCTCTGGACCTTGATTTGCGAGGAATTCTAAATTCGAGACCCACGATGTTGGGCCATTGAGGCCGCGACAATCGACTTAGGCCAGCTCCGAACTCGCTGGTCTCAGGTCAATCGCGTGATCATCGCCTCGTCTACTAGACATCGAAGCGAGAGAGATCGTCGTTTGCTCTAATGGAAGCCATCCCGAAACTCCCAGACCAACAGAGCTTGTCAACATCAGAGAGTAGCATCCAACCGAGAGCTCGTAGCGAAGAGAGCACGCCTCTACTCATCTCAGAAGCTCAACCATTGATGGCACGATTGTGTTCCTCGGCAGGAAAGCCTTGCCTTAGTCTGCAATGATACGGACTATTGCGGTATGGTCGGGGAAGCATGGGTGGATGCATGTGTGTGCATGCAATCTAGATGTACGTACCGTGAGGTAAGATAGCGAGGTAGGGCGAGAAAGGCTGGTCCTGCTCGCCTGCCGGGAGAGTGCTCGAGTCGATTATCGTCCTCGCTTTGTTTCCTTGTATCTCCGAGACAGTCCCCGCACACAATCTGTTTGTTGCTTTTACTTTAGCTCGTGTCCACAGGCAAGTCTCTAGTGAGACAAGCCCACGCTTGCTATATGCTCTCTACCTTACGGTCTGCTAGGCCTGTCACTGCTTAGGAAACACATGCTCGAACTCGACCAACAACCAGACCATGAATGACACGGCCCGGCTGACAGAGACCTTTTCCGGCTGAAGAGCGTTGCCATAAATGAGGTGCATACTGCCGAGCTTGCCTGCTCAGTGAGGACTCGATGGCCCTGCCCCTTGTCTACCATATGGGATCAGCATTGACCCCGGCTAGTGCCAATACACGGATGACCAGGGCAGGGAGGGCAGGAGAGTCTATCCTACCCTACCCTATACCCCTGTCCTTGTTCTTTAGCCTCCATCTTTCTCTGCATGTCTTTGCATGATGGATGGACCGTTGTGCCAATGAGTGGGCTGGTTAGTGGCCGCCACAAAGGTGCAGAGCTGCCCTTTTAGTCGCTCAACAGCTCCTATCCCTGCTCCTGTCTGCAGTACACTGCTTTGGTCTCCATCACTGTCACCTCCTCACTTCTATTCTCAGGTGGGGTTGTATGTTGGCTCCCACATCTGGTCACCGTCCAGCCGACCGCCCATTGGCACCAATAAGCGCATGGCATATTCCACCATTCCCTTATGTGAGCACACAGGAAGCCCATCCCATCCCCATTGCGACTCCACACGGCCGACCTACCTGTGCATGTACGTACCTGTTCTATTGTAGTCTGCACTATGTAGTATAGTTGTAAGGCAGGCGCACTGCGAGGAGGCCGGAAGAGGGAAAGGCAAGCCACCCCAAGCACTCACACTCTCGCTCTGATCCAAAATTAGAAGCACCCAATCCTCTCTCTGCACCATTGTTCGTGGCCGTCGAGATGGCGGCCACGATATAAGTCTTTGGACAGCCAACCTCCATCAGGATGTTTCGACTCTTTTCAGTTCAAGGTCAGTTGGATTCAAGGTGTCGTTCCAGTTTCGTCAAAAACAGTCTTCCTCTCTTTTCAACTCTCTCCTCGCTCAACGCCGCCATTATCAAGACCACCCAACCCGGCGCCATCCACAATATCCAGTCAGTACAGCAAGCCGGACTTGCTCTCAGACCAGTCACTCTTTCGACGAGCGAAATACATACATACGCGATATAATATTTTGATACGTTAATCTTTGGGCTTGACGGGAGATTAGAGTTGTCCATCGGCTCAAGAACACCGAACCCGTTACTCAAATCACTCGCCCTCTCCTGTGTGCTTTTGGACCTGGACCCGGACTAGCTAAGGGGACCCTGGCCACCACAAGTCTCCCCTCCCGCTTTCGCTCGGCCCAGAAGCTATCGCCCACACCCCCCGACCTCCCACAACGTACACCCCTCCCCCCAGTTGTGGTTGCTTGTCAGTCACTGCAAGGTACCTATCTGAAGATAGGCCGGAGGTACAAATGTCAACACTACCCCCCAACCATCGAGAGGAACAGATGCGAGCACCCCAAGTCAACATGGCTGTCGCAACTTCAACAAAGTCAAAGCCGGCCTCCAAGGCCAGCAGCAATGCAACCTCCAAACAGAAGACACAGATGCACCGCCGCTCAAGAACAGGTTTGTCCGCTTTCTTCGGGTCCTCCATCGTCGCTTATTATACATTTCCGGTTACTATTTCCTTATGTCCTCTCGTCGTGGGAGCCACTAGCTAACATGTCTGCTTTTTCAAGGCTGCTATACATGCAGACTAAGACGGAAGAAGTGCGATGAGGGCTCGCCAATGTGCTCAGCATGCAAGCATCTCGGCCTGCAATGCGAGTACAAGCGACCAATGTGGTGGAGCAACAACGATGCCAGGCGAAAGCACAAGGACGACATCAAGATGATCATCAAGCGTAAGAAGTTGTCGGAGAAGGCGTCCCACGCCACCATTCAGACTTCTGTCAACTCCCCACCCGGCTTGTCGCATTCTCTCCCAACATCGGCAACCTTCTCAGATCCCCTGGATCGCACAAGATCAGCGTCAATCGACTCGCATTTCTCCTTCAACTTCAACAGCCCGCCCACAGTGTCGGACTCGTTCCAATACAATGCGCAGTTGCACCCTGATTTCATGTTTGGTGCATTCCCATCGCCCTATGAGATCGATGTCAAGACCGAGAGGCAGATGTTTGTTAATGATGTCCCCACACTGAGAGAGTCTACAATCTCAACCTTCAGCACTTACCACACTCCTCCACCTCCCGGTACGATCCTACCATCATTCCAAGGAGAAGGCGAGTGGACGGAGCAGGTGTACTCAGAGCGACGAGAGTCGCTCACTGAAGAGACTCTTAATGTCAACTTCTTTGACTTTTCTCACGGCCCTGCCTCCAGCTCAAGACATGTCGCCATTGAATTGGACGAGGGTGATCAGAGGCTCCTCGATCACTTTATTCAATTCGTGCTCCCGACTATCTTTCCAATTCTTGAGTCAAACCAGCATGGATCTGTTGGCTCCGACCTCATCCTCCCAGCGCTTCAGAGTAACAAAGGCTACCTGCACTGCTGCCTGAGCATCGCCGCGCAGCACTACAAGTCAATGGCTGGTGTGCAAAGCGAGGAGATTGACAGCGATATCATGCGCCACCGCTATGCAACCATCTCTGCTCTCTGCGATGCCTTGAACCGGGACGAAAACCACCAGCAGATCCTTGAGGCCGCTCTTGGCCTGATCTTCTTCCAATGCTGCGTCGGTCGCTACGATGACTCTCTGCCAGACATCCCATGGCACCAGCACTTTCAGGCTGCGAACTCTCTTGTTCAGAAACTTGATCTCCCTCGCATTGTTTCTGATCCAAATGAGCCATTGGCCCAGACACCGTTCAACATGACACTCACCTCGTGGATTGACATCCTCGGCGCCACCATGCTAGGTCGCTCTCCTCATTTCGCGCACACCTACCGGGACAAGCATTTGTCTACCAACCCATCTCTGGGTCTGCGTGAGCTCATGGGCTGCGAGGATCGTGTCATGTACTTGATCTCCGAGATTGCCTGCCTCGAGTCATTGAAGAAGGAGGGCATGGACGACATCACTCTCTGCCAACACGTGCACGTCCTTGGCGACCAAATCGGCCTAACTGAGGTCGGCGAAGCCGCACCCAAGATCCCTTTCAATGCCAACGGCAGCCTGAGCCCGAAGCAGCTGAGCAAGAACATGACAGCCGCCTTCCGCCTTGCCGCACGCATCTACCTCTGCAGCCTGGTACCCGGCTTCAACCCCAGTCAACCCAGCTGCATCGGCCTCGTCGAGAAGCTGACTGCAGTGCTGGAGCTCATCCCCTCCGGCCCCGCGGGCTTCGATCGCAGCCTGGCCTGGGTTTTCCTTATCGGCGGGTCCGTCAGCACACCTGGCTCGACCTTCCGGGTCTTCTTCGAGGACCGCATCGCCCAGCTCGGCGAGCTCTCCCACTTTGGCTCCTTCGGCCGCGTGGCTTGCCTCCTCCGCGAGGTCTGGGCACAGGCCGACTCGCAGGCCTGCTCGCCGGTCAGCGCGGTGTCGACGGAGGCGCAGGCACCACTACCACAGTACGTCCACTGGCGGGACGTCATGCAGATGAAGGGCTGGGACTTCCTGCTCATCTAAATCCGATGGGGCAAGATCTGCATGATAAACTGTGTGGTGAGCGCCCGCGCCCTCCGCAAAGGGTGATATGCAGGCTCATGCCTCCCTTTTGATCACCTCGACGCCGCTGCTTGGCTTCGGTCGAGACACACATACACAAGAAAAAAGAAAAGAAAAAAGAAACAAACGTATCTGAACATGTTTATATCTCATCATCAGAGTTGACTTAGATGTTGCCGCAAGGCATTGAGGAAGACGTTTTTTTCACGTCTTGGAACGACACTGGACCTTGATAAAAAGAGCTGGAACACCTTTTTATTGTTTCTTTCCTGGAAAGGAAAACATACCTTTCTGCAGCTGAGACTGTCCTGACTGTCCGCTGCATGGGTTCTGGAGCCATACGATAACGAACATTTTCCTTTTCTGATCATCGTTTTTTATCTGTCTCAATTTTTTTTCAAAACATCCTAATGTTCGTTTTTCTTATATCGTATATACCAGGACAGCATGCATGGGCCAGGAGTTCTTCAGGCGGGTTGGGCGGGTTGAGCCAGGTAACAGGGTTTTTGGGAGGGGAATACCCATGGGAGGGAATAGCATTCTCAGGAACATTGGGAAAGGGTTTTAACGAAGCATATTTCAGTATATTTGCTTCCTGGGAGGAGATGATCACAGCCGCGAGAGAGCAGCAGCAGCAGCAGCAGCAGCAGCGCTCCGCGACCTTTATGTCTAGTCTACCCTTTTTACTTCTGCCAGCTACAAGAGCAGCCCTCGCGCGCGCGAAAAGACGCGCGAGGGTAGAGCGAAGAAGAAAAGGTGTAATAATACCAATTATCATGAACCACTACAACGAGCCTGAAGCCAACTCGCAAGCAAAATGTGAAATTGAATGAAAAGAAAATGTTCCCCTATTGGCAATTGGTGAGAGCGTCATGAAACCGTCTTCATCTCTGGCAGAGCGGCTATCGCTGAAAGAGGACGCAACGGTTGGAGGGAACGTGCACGCGCGCGCAAAATGCTGCGGTGCGGCCTGTGGTGGTGTCCCTGTGCGATTTGGGCGGGAATACCTACTGCGGGTGATTCGTCCTCAGAGGTGGTCGGGACCCCGGGGACTGCTGTTGACGCCGGCGATGCAGGTTCGCGAGAGAAGTATGACGACAGTGAGGGCGTCTTGGAATTGATTAGGGATGGGTTATCACGGGTCAAGACTGGACGCCTTTCTTTGATTCGGTCGAGTTGATCGTCTGTGTATCATTCACATCCATTCTGTAGAAGCTTGTATCGATATACTACGTACTGGAGTGTAAGTGACTTGGATATACTAAGACGGTATCGTCAGTGTCACCAAGACAGACATCTTGTCATGAACCCAGTAAGTAGGGCAGTACTTAGCACGTCTAACTCTAAGCTAGGCCATATCTCTTGATAGATGCAAGAATTCCAACGGCGGAGCGCCGGATAAGAGCAAGGTCGCCGGATTTCTTGCCCCACAGCCGAGCCGGGCATGATGGAGAAACGGAGCCAGCCGGGAATCGCAGGTTATCCCAATCTGGTAACCCGCCGTGGGTAGATGGAAATGCAGGTACACATGCTTCACCGCACTCGATTTCTAGCTGTATACACGAAGAAATGTCGTCATTCAATGCTATTTTCTCGGCTAGGGTCTCAGATCACGACCATGTGAACAGGAAGCCGAGCTTGTCTTTCTCACCCGGCTTTTCGGCCCAGACTGGGACATGGGTCTGAGGTGGACACTTGACGATAGGCTCTGAACCGCCAGCGCTCCCTTGGGTCTCTCGCAAGCGAGCTCTCACCTGCTCACGTGTCTCTGTTAAACACGAATATCAGCTCAATCGCTGTGAGACTCTACGGAACATGTGACCGATGGGAGAATACACCGCTTGAATCCAGCGGAGTTAGTTAGTTGAGAGTCATTGGCGGTGTAATAGTGTAAGTCATCAGTCATCGAGGGGCTAGTGTCGGTCGACTCATCAAGTCTCGCTTCTTCCAACTTACACCCCACGGGCCGATGCAGAAAAACCCATCTCCAAGCGATGACCAGAGCCAGAGATCCCCGGAAAACAGGGACGATCAGAGTCGAGGCATTCTCGCGAACCATGCCGAGCTGAATGGCCTCACCGTCATCCACGTAAGTCTGCATGGGCGACCTGCTGCGTGGGGAAGGGAAGAACAGTTGAGAGCCGTTCTAGGCTTGTCGATCATATGAGGCTTTGCTATTCCGTCGAGGATTCGCCGTCCGCGGTCATCTGACTTGCTCGCAAGGAGAGCTGCACAGCCAACGAAGTCGCCGCTGGTGCGCCAGAACAGGAAATCATTCGTGGCTCATCGCTATGCGGTCAAGCCTCACCCGGAGCCCGAGGGCAAGACATGCAATGCCATGCCATCATACAGCAGACATCATACCTCATACCCCAATGCGACAACCCCACAGTCTCATCTTCTGCAGTTCTGCGCTGTCGTGCATCGCAGCGACCCCCATCTCCGTCTCTGGGGCTGCCTCAATTGTTCCTGATTGATGACTGCGACTGCAAGGGGAAAACGGTAAGGCACACGGGGTCGCTGGTGAGCTGTGCCTGACGGTCAGTGATGATGGGTGAATGTTTGTTAATCGCTTGCCACGCTTGGGGAGGGAAATTCGGGCTAAATTGGTCTCAGCTCTCAGCCAACCATCTGCGGCCACTGGCCGTTGCGCGTCTACTTCTGAGATCGCCAGTGTAACCGAACCAACCACATTGGGCCCTTCCCACCTTCTCTGGACTCCGTCTCCTTCAAGAGAATTGAATTGAGTACCAGGCTAAAAATTACGATGCCATCCTCACCAGTCCTCGACGTCCTGGTGGCCGCAAGGTCAGGTCGGGCGCTTCACCACGGCCTGTCGTTTGGTCCTCGACAAAGAGATCCTTGACTGCACTGCCTCAGATGGTCGAATTGCCTACCCGCCCGCCGGTCGTTTCCGCTTGCTTGTTCGTTTCGTTCGATCGTTTTGCCGTCGAGGCCTCACTCACTCACTAATGTTTCCATGTTTCGACGCTCCAGACACTCGCCCATGGACTCAGTGGACTCATGGATGGGTGCATGGATGCCTCCGGAGATGACGGCGGCCATTCGACGGCCACTCAACTCCATCGCAGTCATCGACGGTGCCGCCAGCGTGGCTCCACTGCCCATATTCGGTTGGACATCAATGCTGCTGCCAGGCCGAGCCAGAGACCCTGCGTCTGGTGCACCTCTCTGTCTGTCTCTATGCTACTCGCTGCCAGGCGCTGCTACGGAGGGAGCTGTTGAACGGCCTCCTCTCTCTTTGTGAACTGCAGACAAAGACGGGCGATTTCGCTGCTCGATGTCGTGTCCATCTCGAGCATCATCATCCGACCCTGTAGGTGTGGTGTGGCTACTCCAAGGCCTCTCTTCCTTTCTCTTCCAGTCGTTTTGTGCATGCCAGAACAGCATCCTTTGTTCGCGGCCCTTTCTCTCCACCCCATACGCCTTATACTCTCTGGCACTCGGGACAAACGGATTCGTGCCTGTCTGTTGCGCGTGAATCACCTCGCTACTCTTATTTCTATGCCTTGACGAGTCATCCGCCAAGGAACGACACCAATTTCCTTCTGTTTCTACTCTTTTCACCTCATATATCACTTTCCCGGAAAGTGAACAATATATCGACTTTTCACCCTGCACGGAAGCTATCTTACTCATCTTCTACATATTCAGTAGCACAACACTTTGTATTCTATCAAAAAAAGAGCAGACGGGTACACAAGACACAGCGATGGCGAGGTTGCGGAGGCCTCTACGAGCCTTCCTAGTTGCGGCGATATGTGCGACTACCTCAGCATCAGCGATACCGTTCCGTGCTCTTTTTGAGCGAGCAGACACATGCCCCACCGACTTCTCCAGCTGTCCAGATGGACTTCCCGACAACTTCTGTTGCCCGAATGGACAAACATGTAACGCCCTGGCGGGAAACACGACGGCTCTCTGCTGTCCAGAGGGTGCAAACTGCGACAGGATACAGCCCATCACATGTGATTTATCACAGCAGGATGCTTCAAAATCCCCGACCAACCTCATCAAGACCACGGCTCTGAACGCGGCTCTGGGACGCTGCGGAACCAACACCTGCTGCCCATTTGGATATTCGTGCGACTCTGATACGAAATGCAAGAAGGACGCAAACCAGAACGCGGCGCCGATAGAGACAACGCCGGTGTCTACCTCGACAACGGCAGTCACTTCGCTGCTCACCGCAACGGGCAAGCCAACGACCACAACGCCCACGGCATCCGCAACCGTCTCTCCAGACCCCGTCTCCGCCACGTCCGAGGCACCGCAGCCTACCACAACAAGCAGCTCGTCCGGCGGGTCCTCCACCGCCGCCATCGCGGGCGGTATCGCGGGTGGCCTGATAGCGGCGATCCTCATCGCGATCCTGGTCTGCGTGTGCATCAAGCGCAAGCAGAAGCAGAGAAAGGAGGCGGCCGCGGCTGACCCCCTGAAACTCAACCGCTCGACGTCGTCGTTCGGCAACATCATCGCCAACCCGCTCACGGCGGGCGGCCCCCACCTCAAGGGCCCGATCAGCAAGCCCATCATCTCGGCGGGGTCGACGATGCGCTCCGACTTTGCGCGGCGGAGCCCCGGCTCACATCGCGACTCGTCCGGCTTCGGCGGCGGCGGCGTCGGCATCGCCAGGGGCTCGGGCGACACCTATGAGGAGCACGGCGCCAGCAGCCTGCCGAGCACGCCGTCGCGGACGCCGAGGACCCAGGTGCGCCCCGGCGTGGGCACGGCCGCGGTCCCGCCGATCCGCAACATGGCGGCGACGAGGCGCGAGCCGCCAGAGACGCCGCCGCCGCCGCAGCAGCGACGCGACCGCGAGCCCAGCTCCGTGAGCATCAACGTGTTTGCGGACCCGACGGTCGCGACGCCGCATAGCGGCCTGCTGACGCCGCACCGCGAGAGACGGCTCAGCCACCAGACTACCTTCACCGATATGATGGAGCAGGCCGATCTGGGCGGGATAAGGCGCGGCGAGCCGTACGTGCCGCCGAGTGCACAGTCGAGTCCTGCGAGGAGAAGGTAGTGAAGAGCTGCCCGGAGTCAGAAGAGTGGTGTGTGAATCATGAGCCAAGCTATTACGCTGGCCGGCGTTAAGCGTCTGGGGATCTTGGGAGGCTTTAGAAGACTCGATACCATATACTTGGATATATACACTTTCTTTCTTTAATGTCGTCACGGTACCGAGGTCTTACTAGGCTTTTTGGGGGTTTGTGTGTGGAGTTACGAAGGGAGTGGCCTAACATAACACTCATTCTGGGTTGGACGGCAGTGGTGCTTTGCATGGGATCGGAAGCATGGAGTTCACTCTTTATACCCTTTGCATATACGTGTGGTGGCAGGCGTTGAAATGGAACGGACTCTCGTTCACATAGTTGAATCAAATATTGTTTTGAAACGAGGCTTCGCTGTCAGTGTTTTTGAATTGTGAATTGTGTGATATGTGGCCGTATTCAGCGATACTGTGTGATTCGAGATACGTGAAAGAGCATAATATTCGTTACATTTCTTTTCATTTCAGTCTATCATGAAATATCTGCACCAAAGTATCATGCCGAGGTACCAACCGCCAAAACCATTGAAATGCACCGTCCATCGTACACCATGAGATCAGCTATCCCCATTCCCACGCCGCCCCTAGATCACTGCTTCTTCTTGCTGCCCGCGGCCTTCTCCTTCTCCTCCTTCTCGACGGCCTCGAAGTCGTCGAGCTCCTTGCGCTCGGCATACCACTGGCCGGCCTGCAGCACCAGCACGCCGACCAGCACGAGGGCCAGGATGGTGTTGCTGGCGGCCAGGACCTTGAGGCTGTCCTCGCGGCCGAGGATGATCTCGCCGGTGGCGGGGCCCTCGTGGGTGATGCCGCTCCAGCCCTCCTGGTGCCAGAGGCCGGCGGACACGGCGCGCATGCCCTTGACGATGTTGGAGAGGTAGATGCCGACGCCGATGACGTACAGCACGAGGCTGGCGCCGTCGAACAGCACGTTGGCCTCCGAGGGGCGGAACAGCTTGATGAAGAAGCCGAGGAAGCCCACCGACATGATGATGTTGAGCATGCGCGCGATCAGGGGCGGCGCCTGGTGCAGCAGCTTAAGGTGCGCCTCGAGCTGGTCGAAGAAGGCCGGCTCGACGGGGTCGGACGTCCACAGCAGCGGGAAGTCATAGGGGAACTGCGCGAAGAGGATCCCGAGAAACAGGCAGACAGCTATGTGACGGGCGGGTTAGCATTCATGCTCCCATGCATCGGGTCGCAATCCGATGCTGCCGGATAGCAGTCGCGGAGGCGGGGGACGTTCTGGCTTGGAGGAGAGCTACTTACGGCTAATGATCATGAAGGTCGCGAAGGAGTTGGAGCCGCGGTAGTTCTTGGACCGCGTGGTCTTGGACCAATCTACCCAGCTACTAGCCATTGCGAAGACTCTTGTTCAACTGTTGCGCAAGGTGCGATCAATCGTGGACTGTGGCGAAGACGAGGTTGAGGAGTTTGTGCGCGGGGCTGCTGGAGGATGTTGGCTGACGGAAGCGGGACAGGACTGCGGTAGCAGCAATTGCACTATTAAGCGATGCTGGACGTCGTGACACGAACGGTCTGAGATATCTGCCCAGGTAACAATGAAGTGACGACAATAATTGTGTAAGCAGCTATCTGTCAATTTCGCGCAGTTGTGCTGTGTTGTCAAAATTGGACCCTGGGGATCCTCCTCCCAATTTCTCTCTATCGGGTGTCGGTCCACTTACGGTGACGCCGTTCTTCAGCTTCGACGGCAGCTAAGCTGCAACCGGAAGGCCAGTCTTGGCGCTCATGTCCAATCAACAGCGCCTTATAAAGTCTGTTATTCATGGCAGCAAAGTCAAATGTCAAACAAAGTCAAAGGGTTCAATATCACCGTCAACAGTCTTTGTCACAACCATAAAGAATTGGAACGGATTTTTGAAAGAATGACCTTTTGATATTGCGTTTGTACAGTAATCTGACCAAATTGTGATTCAGTTCAACAAATCTTTGAATACGCTCTTTACGAGTGATGCTACGTTTTATGTAATTTACCTGAGTGACTTTACCACCACGACGGAGAACTTACGTCCTCTGGCTCTGAATAGTAATATTCTTCGTCTGAGTCCAAGAAGATCTCAGTCATGTCTTCAGTGAATAAGTCATCCTGTGGGAGGTTCTGAGGAGAACTGGGAGGCTCTTTGGTTGAAAGTTCCAGATAGTCCCATGGATCAGGACGGCCCGCCCGGAAGCAGAAGCTTGCATCGCCAGATGGTACTTGAATACGAAGGCTCGGCTGCAATACTCTCAACGCGGCCTGAAAATCGACAAGAATCAACTCACCACCAGGTCGCACCGCACCGCGAAACAACCGAATCCAGTTGGGCTCTGGAGAAAGCTCACCAGCGGGCGCTGTGGCCGGGTCAAATTCATATTCCTCGTGAGAGTCTTCCACCTCCTCGATGTGCAGCTCGTCGTGACCTGGATAAAACTCCTCCGATCGCAGGCCTACCAAAACCAAAAGCTTTAGCTGTAGGCCTGAGCTGCTCATGTTAGCTGCTGCTTGTTCGAGAACCTCTGTCCCTACATAGCCCACACTATAGGCTCGTAGGTCAACAAATAACGACTCTAGCTGCGGCATCATGTCCCAACGGAGGAACAAGCCGCAGCACTGCTCAAAATCCAGTCGCGCTTGGAGGAGTGCTTCGTTCGCGCGCGCCACACCATTGAACGCATCAGGAGTGTGCACGAAATCATGGGCGGTGGCTTCTACGAACTCGGCGTCTGCATTGAATATGAGATGCTTGATCATATGGAAGGGTTGGCTCTCACCATTGTCTTTTGATGCTTGCAGCTCCCGAGCCCTCGCCAGATTGTCCCAAAAGGGCAGGTTCACCGCCGCCCATGTGTCCCGCAAAAGGTGGGCTTGAGGAATCATTGCTGATAAGCTTGGGTTATCAAGCTTTCTGTTGAGATGGTGAAACTCTTGGTTGATGTCTCGCGCGTGATCTTGATGTGCAAGCTTCCAGAGCTCATATTCGGCATCGGTTTGCAGCGTGCTGAGGTCATCGTAATGGGTGATGTCTCGCGAGGGGAGGTAAATGTGTTTCAGTCTATCGTCCATGTGGTCGAAAGAGGTGAAGATCTTGCCTCGCCCTTCACTCGAGACAGTGTAAGTGTCCATCCTAAAGGTCCGCGTTATTTGGCATATTTTTGACTGAGTATACATACCTTCATCATCCATGTGTGGGCAGACCGGCCAGCCTCGAGGGAAGTGAGAAAATGCGCATACATCACTTGTTCGAGTGAGATAATGCAGAATCCTTAATAGTATCTCCCATGGAAGTTGCCTGATGCGGCTTGCAAGATCATCTGTCCGCTCTGCAGACATACTAATTGAACTTTGCCAAAAAAAACTTCAGGACGCTGATCCTAGACTGAACCTTCCCAGACATGTAGCATGCAGAAACACCTTTGAGAGCGAAATCATGTTGGCCTTATATCCTTTTCTTTGAACAATGAATATTGTTCAATGCCAACCAACAATGGGCTTCATTGACAAAGAACACAGGATGGACTACAACTGGGGACCTTGTTTGTCGCACTCTGGTACTGAGCAGCGCTGATTAACCGCGGCTGATTGCAATTAAATTCCAGTAATTCAATCCTATTCGCATCAACTCAACGATATTTCTGTTGTCAAGAGTTAGATAATCAATAGCGATAGGAGAAAACTGCCCGGCTCTAATAGGCACTGGCAAAATCACCTTTCGACAATGCTGAGCGGCGAAGCTACGCAGGTAAAATCAATTATAACATTAGTTGTTCTGGCCTTTTCATTATAACGCCATGAAACCGGATATCAATACAACCCTATATATGAACGCCATCACATACTTGCGTTGGCATGAAATTGTCTGCAGCCGCGTGTCGTGGCACTCCTATCATCTAAGCCTGGTTCTGCAAGGGCTCCAGGTAGACTGACCATCCGTTCGGATGTGAGCTACCCAGAAACCTACTTGGAAGCGGCGCCACCAACTGCTGCCTTAAACTGACATTACTACTTCCGCTGCCGAGTTGACCCATGTCCCAATGAAAAGGCACAGAGTTCTCGACATTCCACTCCAGACGCTCGATGAGCTGTGGGTGCTCGTAGCGGGTCGGGTCTGTTTTCCACGCGTTTTCAATGTTATCGTCAACATGCTTCTTGTTCTCCAAGCCGCCAAAGGGCTTGCACAGCATGACTAGGAGGTCCAATGCAAGCGCCATGAGCTCCGGGTTGCCGTCCTCTGGGACCCGGAGGAGGTATTGGCGCGGGAAGAACTGAGATGGCCCGGTGAGAACACCCAATCTAGGGTCTTGAAACATGGAATCCAGAGTTGGTACGTCTTCGGTTAGCCGCTGGTATATAGATGATAGTTTGGCGTGGAACTTGGCTGCTACGGGGTCACAGGACCCGCAATACTCCAGCGTGCTCAGACAGATTCGCGCGCATTCTAGATCATCATCGGTGTCGCAGGCTGTTAGAAAGTGAAGCTGTTTCTGCGCGACTGAATACAGGACAACTGTGCAGGCAGTATATGCTTGGTAGCTGTTCACAGTGTTAGAAACACAGAACCCACGCCAAAAGGTATCTAAATGCATCAACTACTCACATGACGAGCCAGCACTTCTTGAAGACTCCGTTATCTGCCATTAGCGTACCGAGGATCCTCGCCGTGCTCTTGGCCGAGAGAACGCCCTCCTCCGCACACCCAACGAGCTCCTTAGACGGTCGCGAGGGGAGTGTCCTATCGCCCGGGATTCCACGATTCTTGACAATTTGAGATGCTATCCTGCGATACAAAAGCATAAATGCGCCTAAGTACAGGAGGTGCACATGGTAGATCGTCAAACGCAGATTCCACGGTAGAGATGCATTCTGTACGTTGTGAAGATGCATTAGGCTCGGTAGCTGAGCGTGCCATTCTCGTAGATCTAGGAGAATAGTCTCGATTGTGAGAAATGAAAGGTCCTTGAAAAGTAGGTTCAAGCGTAGAATGTCGGCTTTGAGGATGGATATCTTTGTGAGTTCCGATTGTACCACTACAGCTCGTTAGAAAATCTATCGTCGCTCGGGGGTGGGAGAGAGACCTACGATCAGCAAGATTCGTTGAGTTGTCTACATCAAAATCCGTCAACTAAAATCCAATACATGTTAGTTGCGAATGCAATGACACGGACTCTTCAGGCAATCAACTTACAGCCACCTTCTCCGTCATCCCTGTGTTAACACCAGACATGTAGCCAATTGTGAATGATAGCCAGCTGACAGCATGAGTTTTGATGCCTTTTAAGGGTAGAGAAGACTTACCTAGAGAGAAACATTAATGTCCTCCATGCCTTGCGATAATCAATCCAAACATCATCTGGAATTAATGGATCGTGCCACTTTTGGTCTAAACCATGTCTCTTGGCTATTCCGAGACCGACTTCTAAACATTGTTCAGCATACTTCATACGCGCAATACGAACTTGACCGAGTGGTGTTGATACTGACCAATATACGCCAAAGATATCGTCACCTTGTCGAATATGTTGAACATGGCCAAAAGCCCGCAGACTTTGATAGCATCTAGAGGATGTTCTACTAGGACCGCCTCGTAGTAGTGTTTTGCGACATTGTATAATCCGTCCATCTTCTCCCGACTCGCGTTCTCCTCGCTCTGTTCGTATTGCAGCCCCATGGCAGCGACCAGAGCCACGCAGCACACTGCGACTTTGCTGACCTCGGTGGAGTCTTGGTCGAACACCATGTCATAGTATCTCGCTGCTTGCTCTCGGGAGAAGAACTGGAACAGCTTTCCTGTCGAGCTGAAGAACGCCTCGAGTGCGGCCCTCACGAACTCAGAGGTTGGTAATTTCATCTGAACAATAAATGGGACCTCTGCAGTCGTCAACCCTACTGCGCCATCAGCCAGAGAAACCGTGTGCACCGGAGTCTTGCCCTTCAACGTGACGGGCCCAGCTGGTATTAGAGGGTCGATGTCCAGGTTCTCTAGATGCGGAGTCGTATCGAGCGCACTGCCAGAGCTTGAGCTCTGCTCGGTCAACGTCTCGAAGACGGCCGGGCTCGCCTCGGGGTCGTCCACTATGGACGAGAGATTCTCGCCCGTCCGGATGCGCTGGACCAGACGCTCGCTCTCGGTCGGCGACGTTGTCTGCAGCGAGGCGAACAGCTTCTCCAAGGTCTCCAGACGAGTTTTGGCGGCCTCTTGCCTGGACATCGAAGGGGTTCCTTCGTACCCGCATGGCCGGCCCTTTGTGGCGCAGGTCTTGCATCTTGGTGTCTCTCCCGAGCACTAGGACGCCGTTCTCAGCGGATATGCTCAAGAAGGGGAGGGATTGTGGCTTTACTTTGATCTTACTCCTGCGACAGTTGTTGCACGCCTGCGCGGCGTTGCGGCTCTTCTTTCTGGATTGATAGGCATCGGCCTGCCCTTGCTCAGATGGCGGGAGGGGATTTGGCTTGATGGGCCGAAATGAAGACATCGTGATAGTTACCCAGTGTTCGCCTGGAAGGTTTCGACAATTGGGTTGGTGATGCTTTGAAGGGGGCGGGATCCCCGCGGTACTGCAAGGCACTGCTCGTTGCCAATAGGCCGCCTCAGCTGAAAGAATTAGAAGGACTTACACCATCTGTGGGACCGGAGAAGGTCTGGGCATTTCCCATGTAGTGGCTTGTGTTTTTTTCCCTCTTCCCTGGCTCATCTTACATCACGCATGAGATGTGCATCTGCTTAAAAATAAAAGGGTTTGGGGAACCGATGCACTGAAACAGCTTAAACCTTTGGATGTGGCGAAACGCCCCGGCAGATGGTGAATCTCCGGTCGGCGGAAGGTCCGAAGCGTACCATCTGGCGATGATTGGCCTGAAAAAGACGGGGTGGACTTCTCAGCCCATCAGTGAATGCTTGAAGTGTCTTTCCTGAGCCAGGTGTTGTCTGCGCAGTCTTTCGTAGGGGTCCAATTGGCGTTTCTGTCTATAAAGATAAATACCCATGGGCAAGCTGGTTTGATGTTGTACCAAGCTGCGTATTTTGGCGCACGCTTGAACGTTCTCGAAGGGCCGGGGCGCCGATCGGCCCAGAGCAAGGAGTGGGGCCGTTCGTTTTGCGGAGGTGGCTCCGGGAGGACATCTAGACACACGCACGTAGTTTTGAAAAGGTGGCGATATCAGGAACGTTGTCGTTATGAACTCTACCTCTATCTCATGTTCAATGCGACACACGCGGACAACGACCGGACAGTAAATCATGACCAGATCTGTGCTCCACGGATGTTCCACGGCTGTACGGTTCCTCATAGCAAGGCCCTCGCCGGCAGTTTGCGCAGCGTATTACGAGCGTTTCACGTCATAGACATGCCTGGGTATTTCTCAGTCAAGTGATGGACCTGTCTGCAGAATTTCTACTTTGAATATCGAAAAGGCCTCCGCTCGCTCCGTGCTCCAATGCTATGTAGGTAGATCTGGCCTGTCCATCCTGCAGAAGATAACCAGATACCGATGAGCACCAATCGAGTTCAGAGGAACGACGAAAGATGAAGCCATTATTCATTCAGTCGCGGTCTTCTATCCCAGCGATTACTGGCCGACGAGTGGGCGAATAAGGGTGAGCACGGCTCAACGCGTCGACTCGAGACTCTCTGGATTTATCCGCGAGTCGATCGTCATGTCTGTACAGGACTTTCGATGGCATGCCCACCGAGCAATCTACCTCGACAGCCACACAAACGGCTAATGCGAGACAATTGCAGAAAGGGGCGGCAAGCCACCTAAATCAATGCGGGTAATGGTTGGTTACACGGTCCCCTTTGTCGCAGGTTGGCCTGCACAGCCTATCGTCAGTGGTCTGAGGGCTCAGGAGGGGTCCTCTGCATGCTGTATGTATGCTTTCTTTTTCTCCCTCATCCTGCCTCCTTTTTGCTCTGTCTGTGCTGTGTTGTACTATGTATGTGTGTGCACACTGGCGGGTGGCAGCAGGTGGCAGTCTCAAAGTTACATTGATGATGCAGGCCCCCCAATCTGATTGATGTAGGGGGCACTGACTGACTGTGCACTGCTGCCACTGCACATGCAGGGTCGTTTTGGTTGCCGTGGTAAGCAAAGGCAGGCTAGCCGGGGTCTGCCTCTTCGGCCGCCACGTCAACTGAGGGCCATCAACAGAAGATCATTCGCCCAGCGAGCTCCATCACCACTCGGAGCAGCGCATTTTAGCCCGCCCTGGGACCTGCATATTCCCTGTAATAGGTAGACCAAAAAGAACAACAGCCTTACATCAGCGAACCGTGGAGCACACTCGTTCATTCACCGTGTACCTAGGCAGCTAGGTACTGCCGGATGGCACCAATCTAACCAAATTACCATCATTCATTCGCATTGACTTTTCCATGAACGCTGCTCCTTCGTACCTACATAGATCAACAAACCAGCATAGCGTCCTCCTTGCTCCTCAACATACACAAAGTTCATTTGCGTGTTCTCACCGTACTATCATCGGCTTAGCGGTTCAGCATACTCATATCTATTTATTCTGGTGCATGACATTTACTGTGGGACGCTTGACGCCTGTCGAATCCGCGACCGCCGAAGCGTGCAGACGCGCGCCAACAACCAACGGCAGACTCGAGACAAACGCAGCAGCAGTTCCTGTTTCTCGTCGTCGAGGCCCTGGTTCCATGCCATGAGAAATGTTCAGTCGAGTATACTCTAATCGGAATCGCTCCTCGCTAAATCCCGACTTCCCCATCCACCAAGACACGGACAACGGTATGTGTGTTCCTGAAACTGTGAAACATTCCTCCCCCACAAGCGTACCCCTTGCGAGGATCCGATCAAATCTGTTTACCCCCCGATTCCCCTCCCACGACCTACAGTACACGGCCAATGTGGCCTTAGGGAGTAGGAGGAGACCGCCTTGAGGAACACTTTTTGCTGACTTCCATTCAAGTCGCAGTCAAACAACCGGCCCGCCCGCACTTGACTTCGCTCCCGGATGACCGCAACCCAGCTCGCCCAACCCTGAATCCAGCCTCTGCCGGTACTATGAATTCGCGGAGCACAGGCAATGGTCACACAGCTGTAAAAGGGTCAAAACACCACCAGTCATACTCAGCTTCGAACGTGATGGCCAACGGGCCAGACGTCCCCCGCAGAATGGCCTCGACGATCCGGCCCGTGGCCAGCTTCGACGAAGGTGCGCGCATGTCGGAGGACTCCTCGTCAACAGATGGCTCACACTCGATAGGAGGGTCACGGTCCAACTCGGCCTTCTCCAGCTCCGTCAACAGCAACGCTAGTGGCTCGTCGACTGCGTCACAGTCGCAATTACATCCCCAGAACGGCACGCCTACCATAAGGTTAAAGAAGAGCCGGTCCGGCCAGTTTCTAGAGGCGACCACCCCAACACGAGAGGTACCACCGCGGACAGTCAGCCCTGCAGGAGGAGCACGGCCGACGCTGTCCACGACTGGCTTGGAGATACCACAACGAGAAAGTAGTCTGGGGAGCACTGGTAGGATGCCCAGTCCTTCACGGGGCGAGGAGGAGTCGCCCGCCACCGGCGCAGAGCCTCACCTCTCCAACGGGTTCGATTCTACAATAGGCAAGGCAGGTCTCGGCAAGACGGGCCGTGTCATCAACAGACTAGTTTCCGATAACGAAGCGTTGAAACGCGACATTCAGATCGAACGCCTGAAAGCCGAGGAAGCACGACAGGCGGCGCGACTGATGGAGGACAAGATGGAGAGGATAGTGTCTGACTACGAAAGCCGGCTACTAGAAGCAAACGTCACGAAGACCTTACTAGCACGCAAAGAGCGGCAGGTCGAGAGCCTGCAGGCAGCAGTCGAGCTGGAGAGGCAACGAACTACAGATGCCCAAGGGCGAGAACGCACTTGGCGCGACGAGATGGAGAAGGCCAGGATAGACGCAAAAAGGCTCGTCGAGGAGGCCACAAATCACGCAGCTCTCATGGAGGGCCGATACAACGCCATCAGCAGCCACTGGAGAGAACAAGGCGACGAGGTCAAGCGATCAGTGACTCGCATGGGCAAGGAGATCGCCGAGCTGCTCGAGGACAGGAGGAAGGATGACGATAAGATCACCGTTTTGAGAGACCTGTGTGACCAGCAAGATGGCAATATTAAAGACCTGCGGCAGCAGAAGGACGAGATTGCTCGGCAGTTCCAGGCTTATAAGGACGAGCAGGAGAATCTCCTCCGAGACATCAAGACGAAGGCGGCGGAGAGGGAGACCCAGCAACAGCGGACATTGGAGGAGTCGAAGGAAGTGCTGGATAAACTGCGGTGGGCTCTGAATGTGAAGCAAAACGTACCCGGGGCCGGCTAGGGGGTTTGCTGTTGCCTCAGCACGAAAGATCATATGAAATGGCGGCGCCTGAGAAACGAGTCCTTATTATGAGACCAATCAGGTATCTGCCAGCTCAAAGAAAGCCTTCCTGTTCCGGCAGCCTGCTGAAGTATCTGGACAATAAACTTCGATGGCGGTGATGGAGAGATTGTTGCCCCTAATGGGCTCCCATATATAATGACAAGTCTCGGCAAAGACGGGGTTTTGGCGGATGGGGATCATCAGAGATTGATCCAAGACTGCTCCTCCTATACAGAGATAAGATCTGAGAAGGAAGACATCCTCTACGAGTTACATGACCAACTAAAACTATGTACATTCCTTGCTATATTTACTTTTTTTTTTGACGTCCGATATACCCGGCATCATCCAGATAGAGCTTATGAAAGAGCCATCCTTATGATAGGATGAGGATACTTTAGCTACCTTTCCGTTAATTGCTTCCTAATAGACTAAAACTGTGAACTTGTGGGATCTTCTCTGATTTGTCTCGCCTGACTCTCAGAGAAGTGTTCCTGCCATTTTAGTCAGAAGCTGGTACATAGGAAGTTGTGCTCTATATGCCAACAGTCACTTTTGTAGGACAATAAATATTTAAGACCTCCTCACATATGATGTCCTTCTCATTCATTGTATTTCATGCTTATGCAAGAGAAAAATGTGAAAGCCCAGGGCCTTGCAAAGGAGCATATTACACACCCAAAAGTAGCCCAATTCTTGTTAGGTCAGGGAGCTTATGAAATACACCTTTCGCCACTCCTTCCCCTTGATTGTTTGGTGCCTTAATTTGGATTTGCTTCTTCGATCTGGACCTAGCTTGCTTCATTGTGATAATTTTGAAAAAGACATTGTCTTAAGAACAAAGCTACCATATGAGTAGCGGGCTTGTTTAGTAAGGCGACATAGTGAAGGACATAGGAAGACAGGAAGCAAAACAATTTGGGGGCTTTCTGATGTCTTCGATGCTCCTTCCCACACTAGCTTCTATAACTGCTCAGTAGAGCTCTAGGAGCAGCCAAAGCTACCTAGTATCTATCACGCCACGTTCATTTCATTGTTGACCGAATATCAACAAAACACTTCCCCAACGGCAACATTATATCCTGGATTGTGTTTGTCCCGGGCACTTGCCATCTAGCTTTTTCTAGCTCAGGATAGAACTTGTTTTTGACGACTCTACCCCCAATATTCATATTGCGGGTGGAGGGTTCTTTTCCACCCGCTGCTGTCCTGGCCGCCACCTCCCGGCTCACTTGATTTTCATTGAAGTCATCAGCTCCCGGCTATCAATTGTCTAGTCCAAGTTACTCGACGATATCTCTTGATGTAATTTGAGAATCAGAAGCTGGGATCCTACAGGAAGTCGAGCAGAATACTTTCGCCAGTGGTGCGAAGCAGCATACCTAGGTTTCTGAGAAGAAGGATTATCATCAACACGACTGCTTCCAACTGTGACAAGAAGAAGCACACCAAGAGACCATAGATGAATTAAACACAGGTTCATCTACCCCATTTCCACTTCCCATTCACCTATGAAGTGACCAGAATGGCTCAGACTCGGATCTACCTTTGCTCCATGTGGGCATACACTGAGCAAGGAACCCAACACGTACTCGAGGCTCTAAACAGCCTCCATTTGGTAAGTTTCCACATCTCAACCGGATTCCATATCTTCCACTAACCATGTGGAATTCTTACCTTGAAATTCTGCTGACAGCATACAAGCCTCATGCTACATACACTTATGTACCTAACAAGGCTTGGTTTAAGGTGATTTGTGAGGAGAAAGACTGTATCCCAATTCAGGAGAAGTTCTGTGACATCCAGAAATCCATTGAGCAGAATGCCTTGACGTTCGAACTTGGTGACGAGGTCGAGGACTTCCTGGATTCTGAGATGATGCAGCCTCACGCCGCCCACTTGTACCGCGAGCGTGCTCTAATCCAGACTGATGAGCGCCCCTTGCAAGAGCCTCGGCGCAGTCTTCACCCGACAAGCACCAGACATATTCGAGCTTGGGAGAAGCTGAAAGGCGGAGACCAATCTCTGACTCTTGAGAAGATGCTCTCACGAGCGAAACTCCTAAGCATCCAAGCCGACACCGGTACGACCTTGGAATGGGATCGCCGCGCACGTGTGGTCCATATCAGCGCTGAGTCGGAAGCTGCTATCGATATGGTGCAGGGAAGGCTGCACACCATATTTGAAGACTATGTGAGTCAGCCATATGACGGTTGCGTCATCTCTGAGATCTGTTGGGAAAGGAGCATGTCATTCTTTCCGAAAAGATGCTAACTGGACGTAGACTTGTCCACCGCCTCGATCGCAGCATCTCCTCCTCTCCGAGACAAACAAGCATTTCGATGTCGATATTCGTCTCATGGGAGAGATCAACCCGGAGCTTCCCCGGTCCACAATTCTGGACTCCTCAAGCATGTCACTCCCAGAGCAATATCGCCGGTTCTACAGGGGCTCCGCCAGCCTTCGGATTTGTATCACAGAGGAAGCCAAGTACTTCAAGAGATCGATGTTTGGGCCTAGGCCCGCTGGTGTTTTTGACAAGAGACAGAAACGATGGTGGTTCACCCCCTTTTCTAACCATGTCTACCCATCTAGAGCACCAGATCCCAGCTTAGTGGACAGGCTAGTTGTAGAAGTGCCAAGCGTCCCAGAGAGCCTTGACAAGAATGTCCAAGAATGGATCGACCGCGTACCGGAGAATCAGTCTCTCATAGTGATAGATCAGTCGCAAATTGCCCCGTCTCCCGCTACCACAGAAACACCAAGTGCCAGTGTGAGCCAGCCTCCTCGGGGAGTTCCAGGAGGCGACAGTCCAATCGCAATTCCGATGCGAATTTCTCGTCGAAAGCAACTCTCACACAGCTACGGGAACCCTAGCATCAAGTCGACTCTAGCTGATGCAACTCAGCAACAAAGCGCTGAGCTTGTTCAGACAGCTGAGCCAGATCCACAGCTACAGCCATCTTCTGGTGTAGATCTGCTTTCTGATACCGTCATTCCCTTGGGAGGCCCAAATGTACCATCTGCCGAAAAGCTGGTTCCAATCGGTGAGAAGCGCTTGGATGACCCTCTTGGCGTATATCAAAACATCACCTTCAGCATGACCCCTCTGGTCCCAGTGCCCCGGATTCAGTTCCAGGATGAGGCTTCATCTCGGGAATACCACAGTACCATGAAGCAACAAGCTCCATCTCGTGGTGGGAAGAAGAAAAAGGCTGCAAAACTAACAGTCTACAGTGACCTTTCCTTCGAGACAACTGCAAGAGACGCAGTCATGCAACTCCTCGGGAGGATGAGATCTAAAGTCGGCAAAGTGAAGTTGCGAGTCGAATTTGGACGGATATACCTCATGAACTTGTCGAGGGATTGCCTCGCCACTAATTCCCCAAATCAGATGGCAAGACCTTGGAACGCCGAAGACCTTGTGAGGAAGCTCAACGACATGAAGGAGAAGGATACGTTATTCACAAAGATTCTCTCTACTTGCGGCAACGATGCCGAGTTCTTGGCCGCTGCGAAAGGCACAGGTCGGAGACCAGTTTGGGCGCCTCTTCGGTTGTCCGTGCTGTACCAATTCAAGTGCACACATCTCCAGACAGGGGAGGATTTTATCGTCGAGGTTGACGGCAATGAGTTCAAATGGAAGATTCGGCCAGTCAACGACGAGCTCCCTCCTGTTTATGTCCACTGTCTGCAGCGTCAATGGGATTTTCGATTCGTACTTCAGCACAACCCGATGGACGAGGTGCTGTCTCGGTATGGCGAATTTGCTAAGCAACTGGTGGATTCTGTGACGATCCCGTGAGCTCTACCTTACGCTTCGCATTACTTCGTGAGCTAACCTTGATTGATTCACATAGACCGGACACTCGAGAGAGGGCAGTTGTTCTGTGGAACGAAGGACACGGATCCATCGCCACCGTCCACCATGTCCGCGTACATCACTCTGCCCGCTACCAGACCCAAGACAAGACGACGTTCCTCGACGTCGTCCAAGTCCAGAACACCTTCGTGGAGGAGCGAATAGAGCACGGGGTGCGCCAGTTCAAGGCGACCTTCAAACCTCACACCAAGATCCCCAACGGCCAAGTCCCCGTGTGGTACGAGGCGTCCCTCTCGTCAGCCAAGGCCGAGGCGCTCTTCCTGCAGAACGAGAAGCTGCAGCACGGCCAGAAGACGGCCTGGACGCAGTCGACCTTCAAGCAGGAGAAGATCCTCCAGACCCTGACGACGCGGGCGGTGGAGATGATCAAGCGGATCGACGGCGTGGGCGTCTACTGCGACAATGGCTTTGGTGAGGTATCCGGCGCTGGCACCGGCACCGGTACCGGCAGCGGCAGTGGCTCGAGCAGCCGCGTCAGCACCGCGCTGTCCGTCCCGTTGTCGCGTCAGACCTGGACCGACGAGGCACATTATTACTGAAAAATCTGCGATGATAGCTTTTGTTGTGTTGTTCTGCTCTTCTGCGTCTTCTGCATCTAGCAGGTGCATGCTTGGTAGTTGGTTGTTCATCGTGGAGACGGCATTGTTGCATCAGGATTTTGAGGACACTCATGGAGTTCAAGCATCAGATTTGTTTGCTAGAGAGAGTAGATAGCTCTACAATGCTGATACTAGGTAGCTACTCTGCCATGAAGCTCTTGATGGCGTGAAGTGTTCTATAGAGTACTCGTGTAACCTTTTGGTGATACAAACGGAAACTACCATGTGATTTTTTAACGAGTATCCCATAACTTTCATTTAGTAGCTCAACTGAGCTTTCAGACATCTACGACGATGACGATCAAAGTTCAGGCTGAGCCACAGCTGATTTAATTCTATTGTCTGGTCAACTGCCGTGGGCACATTCCTGACCTTGCGGCATGCTCACCGACAGGTCTGTGGTGGAGCCGTAGCGTCACGAGGATGCGGTGATGGGGCAGGTACTTCCCTGCAGCTTCTTACAGCGAGACCGACGCCAATCAGTGACAGCCTGATAACGTTGAAAAAAAAGGTGGATTCGTCTGTGCGGTGCAGTTTCTCACCTGTGTCTCCTCACCTACATTGATAGGTAGGTGGCTGGAATGTGAGACCTGCATTGTGCAGTTGTCCAGGAAACACCCAGCGCTTACGACGGCAGCTTGCGGCTTCCTGGAAGCTGTCAATCGTTAAGAAGACATCTTGACAACAGGAACTGGGCTGCACCACTTCATGCTTGAGGCAAGGAATCTCTCTTGTCTGCACGGAAAGCTGCTTTGTGCAACGGCGGCACGGTAGAGCATCTGGGAGGCCACATGCTGTACTGCGTATATCAGAGTACGATATCGTGTTATGCACGGCGCCCGTCTTGGCACTTTAACCCGAAATGGATGGGGCCCAATTGACAGCGCTGATTCGTGGGACGGAGCCTGCGTCGATCCAGCAGGACAGGGGCCTGGGCAACTGCGGGCAACTGTGGCTGGTGAGCGAAGCTAACGGAGCTCGCGGAGCTGGCGGCCCTTGTCTCTGGTGTTTGGTGTGTATTAGTGATGACCTCGACCGGTCTAGTGTAGCTTGGAGCTTGGTCTACTGCGTAGTTGGCTTGGTAGCTGGGTCTGTCTCGCTGTCTCTCTCGTGGCAGCACCATCGACTTCCACGAACTTCCGGTCCCCGGGGCAAGCTGCTCCCTACGAAACGTGCCCCGTCTGAGTCGAGATCATTTCAGGCGGGAGAATTGAACAAGAGGGAGAAATCGAATGAGCCAAGCAAGCAAGATTGAAAACAAGGGGCGGCCATTCGTTTCGCCAAACCTGAGACGCGACGAGAGATAAGGCCAACCACCCTGATGGCCCGTGTGGCCCTTGGCGATTTCTGAAGGCATTTCGGTAATTGAACAGTCCAATTTGACCACCACTCTCCGAACGATGCTGGGCATTCTGGGCTGGGCTGGCCCTGTAACCGACAACAACGCGCTAGAGCGCCGGAGCGTGAGATGCGCGAAAATGATCAAGTTGGCACCCAAGCGCGAAGGAGCGATTCCATGAGGGAGCTGGCTCCTGGATCACACGCGGGGGCCGAGGCAACGTGCTGTGATTGATACGTAGCCCTGGTAGTGTATCACCGGGTTTGATAGAGTTTTGCGCAACGCTTCTAGAGCCGGGAAACGGCTCAACAAGTGGTCTATGCTTGCGTTGCGTGGACTTGCTGCGTAAGAGGCGGAGGGACTACCTCGACTACCTAGGTACGGTAGTACAGCTGCTACCGCCTACAGCAGCGAGAGCAGCAAGAAAAAAAAAGGAAGAGGTCGACCGGCACGAAGGACTGGCGCTCCAGGTCTCCAGAGCAGCATCGAACCTGAACCCCTGTCATGACGCTAGGCCCAAAGGTCGGTTCTATCGTGCCGGGGCCGCCACAGGAGCTCCGTAGCAACGAATCACCGAGCTCGAATGCCTCTGCAGGGTCGCTCACCAGCCACATGGGTCTCCATAATACAGTGGATAGACCCAGGTAGGGGGCCCCCCGGTCAGGCGAGTTTGGGCGTTCTATCAGGCTTGGGGACCCGGCCGTCGTATCGTGAGCTGTGCCTGCAGCATGCCCGCCTCTGATTTCCCCCAAAAAGGTGTGACTGACTGACTTGGAGTACCGATAAGTGAGTGGGAGTGAGCGAGGGCAATAATAAGTGAGGGTACGGGCACCTACCTGCCCAGACAATAAAATGCTAATCAAACGCCTGTTCCGCACCTTCCTCTCGAAACACCACACCTTTCCCGTTGCCCCATCACCCTCTGCAACAAAATAGCCTCAGCGTCTTTCTGCTGTCTCTCGTTTTCCTCTCCGGAACAACAATAACAAGGCTTACATCGTCGTCGTCGTCAGCGGCACAATTGAGTAGAACTTATCACTCGCTCGCCTGGACCAAGTAGCACTTTTTGGACCACCACCGCCACCACCGCTACCACCGCTACCATCACCACTTTCTCTCCGCCGCTCCCGCGTAATCACTCATCCCGCAATCACCTCACAATGCGCTCTCAGCTGGTGTTCCTTGCGCTTTCGGCGCTTACCGCCGTCTCCGCCCAGAACTTCACCATCGATCCCAATGAGGTCGATTTGACCACGAGAGGTAGGTTTATCCCATCTACGACTACGGCGCAATTGATTTCTGACATGTCGAGCAGCCAGCTGGTGTTCGGGCGAGTTTAGCACTTGCGATACCCTGTGCGACAAGGACGCTTCCGAGAACAGATGCGAACCTGTGAGTGCCGCTGATGCGCGCCCCGCACCAACCCTCTTAAGCAACAAGTAGACTGACCACAGCCCGTTTACACAGTCCACCCTGGTATATTCGTGCATTTGCGCTTCCAACGGCAGCGCCCCTGGTCTTGAGTACTACAGCCAGTCTTTGCCCTCCGTAGGTTTCCCTACAAGCCGAACGAATTCACGCTTGGCAACCCATTTTGCCCCCCAAGTCGCTGACAAAGTTTACATTTAGTTCATCTGCCAACAAGCCTTCAGCGACTGCAACCTCGCAAACGCTGGAAACGCCGCGGGCCAGAGGAACTGCACCACGACAATCAAGGATAAGTGCGGTACCCTGGATATCGCTGACTACACGGCTACCCCGAGCACCACTTCTGCTGCCGCCTCGTCTTCAGCTACTGGCCAGACGAGCAGCACCGCCTCGGCTTCGGGCACCGGAGCTTCTGCTGCTGCTACTTCCTCCAGCACTGCCGCCGCCGCCCCGACCAACATTCACCTGATTGGCAACGGCGCCGCCGCCATGGCCGTCGGTGTCTTTGCCTACCTCCTCTGATGGACTAGTTTGAAGTGTGAAATCTCAATCTATCCCATTTTTGGTCGAATCGCAACCGAGTTGCGCTGGCAGCTGCCTTCTTCGTTTCTTGTATCGAATTGTATGCGGCAACCGTTGCAACACGCCCCACATTCTTTGATTATACAAAGCATCATAACTGCCCTAACCCAACAGACCAGCCGCCTTCCATCCCCAAGGTGGCAACTAATTCACGAGGAGACGAAACGAGCTTGACGACAGTTTTTGATACGGTTGGCGGAGTAATTGGCGGAGTGTGACTTATACGGAAGGAGAGTGTTGGTGTATTGTGTGGAGGGGAGGCATTGAGAGCAATTGTTTATGACCATTGAGTCCGACAGAGTCAGTCAGAGACAGAGTGTGATATCGCTAGGTATTATCCAAGACACCATCACGGAATTAGAATCGAATTGACGCGCAAGGTTGGCACGCCACTTCTTGTCTCGTACCAGCTTCAAGGTGCTCCACTGTGATGTGTTGTGCCGGTTATTTGCACTGAACTCCTAGTCCTCAATCTGAACGGCTCAGATTTCTCTTCGAAAAGCATCAGATTGTGTACTTCATTTTCTGGAGCAGAAATGAGGGAATATGTTATCGCAGCCTCGTAGAGAGATGGCTTGCAAAGGTTGTGTAAGGCTGTGTGATAGCTATGGACCATCTTCTACAACGGATAGCCAGTATCTTGCTCATATGACCTAGCAATAGAAGGTAACATTGAAGCAAGCAGAAGTAGAAGCGATGAATCATGCGCATGGAGCTAGCTTGCCTACCTTGAGGCTCTGAGATGACGTTATATGTCTAACGATAGCTTTCTGGAGAGGTGACACTGGGGGACACACCAGCTTATTCCCCGTGATATTACACTGGGCCAGCCAGTGATTAGCTTGTGAGACGCTAGAGAATCGTTGCATGAAGCTGCTCGAGCTGTCGCCCATTGCCCCTGCATGTGAGCCAATGACAGGTAGAAAACAGATGCCGCACAGGGCCTATCATCAAAGCCAACATGCGGTGAGGGGGGGTGATCCAGCACGGCCATGTTGAAGATTCAGGTACCGGCCGGGGTCGTGTTCTGAGAGACACAGGCCCAAGCTCCCGGTGATAGTTACTTGCTTCTTAACGCCACCCCGTTATGGCAGCCCCCCCCTCCCCTCCAAAGTGCCCCTCCTCCTCTCCACACAAAGGAAAACACCCGGCATCCCTCCAAATTCCCGTCCCCATCAACTGAGGTTCACCTCTTGTTGGAAACCATCAACCTCCTCCCAATTTGCCTTGTTTTGCCTTTGCGCTGTGCGCTTCTCCTCCCCGTCTCTACAGCTTAATTATCCGTCGACGCATCTCCGTTTGCAACCATGAAGGGCGAGGTAAGTGCCAATATTTAGTCCCGTATCACGTATTCCCTCTCGGTTTATTATACGGAGCTGCCCAACCCCTATTCACGGACACGGGGAGCTTTCGGGAGCCTGATGCCGCACATGCTCTCTGAAAATGACAGGGATCCATCCCGTGATGCCTTCATCATAGAATCAATCCTTCCCCGCCATTTATCTTGTCATTTAGGCTCTCAGAGTGCCTGAGTTCGCCATTCGCGGTACCGTCTGACGGGCCGAGGCGGTGACGGCGTCGCTAAATGACGGAAGGCCTATTTTAGCCTCCTTTCATCCACAATGCACTTGCCCATGATTACTGTCCAGCAGTCGAGCTATAAGAAAGCTGACGAGAATACTCCAGGTCCTTCACCTTCACTTGGGCCAGGCTGGTACCCAGCTCGGTAACAGCGCATGGGAGCTGTGAGTGCACTTTCTACCCCCCACCACAGCCTCGAAGCTGTTGTGCTGACATCTTCAGGTACCTCCTCGAGCATGGCCTCGGAGCTGATGGTCGCCCTGACCCCAACGCAAAGGACGTCGCCGATGCTGGTGGCTCTTTCGAGACTTTCTTCACCGAGACCAGCAATGGCAAATACGTGCCCCGCTCCCTCTTCGTCGATCTCGACCCATCCCCCATTGATGAGATCCGTACTGGTGGTTACAGACAGCTCTTCCATCCTGAGCTCCTCATCAGCGGCAAGGAGGATGCTGCCAACAACTATGCTCGTGGTCATTACACTATCGGCAAGGAGATGGTCGACAATGTCATTGATCGTATCCGTCGTGTTGCTGGTATGTTCGAATTCGAAACATTACAGCCTATGGAGGCAAGCGGTTGGACTAACTGACTTTCTGATAGACAACTGCAGCTCTCTGCAGGGTTTCCTGATCTTCCACTCCTTCGGCGGTGGCACTGGTTCCGGTTTTGGAGCTCTTCTCCTCGAGCGCCTGTCTACCGAGTATGGCAAGAAGTGCAAGCTCGAGTTCGCCGTGTACCCTGCCCCTCGTGTATCTACTGCTGTCGTTGAGCCGTACAATGCTGTGCTTTCCACCCACAGCACCATCGAGAACTCCGACTGCACATTCCTGGTCGACAACGAGGCTGTGTACGACATCTGCCGCCGTAACTTGGACATTCCTCGTCCCGACTATGAGCACCTGAACCGTCTTATCGCCCAGGTCGTCAGCTCTATCACCTCGTCTCTGCGTTTCGATGGTGCTCTGAACGTCGACCTGAACGAGTTCCAGACCAACTTGGTGCCTTACCCCCGTATCCACTACCCCTTGATCAGCTATGCCCCTGTCATCTCTGCTTCCAAGAGTGCTCATGAGAGCTTCAAGGTCCACGACCTGACCTTCCAATGTATGTCCTGCATTTCAAATACCATTTCTCCTGGAATATCTGCTAATGGCCACAGGCTTCGAGCCCAACAACCAGATGGTTGTCTGCGACCCGCGCAATGGCAAGTACATGGCCGTAGCCCTGCTCTACCGTGGCGATGTCGTTCCCCGTGACTGCAACGCCGCCGTTGCCGCTCTCAAGGCCAAGGCTTCCTTCAACCTCGTCGAGTGGTGCCCGACCGGATTCAAGATCGGTATCAACTACCAGAAGCCGGTCGCCGTGCCTACCGCCTCACCCGCCGACGGCGGCCTGGCGTCCGTCGACCGCTCCGTGTCCATGCTGTCCAATACCACGGCCATCGCCGAGGCCTGGTCCCGCCTGGACCACAAGTTCGACCTCATGTACAGCAAGCGCGCGTTCGTGCACTGGTACGTGGGCGAGGGCATGGAGGAGGGCGAGTTCAGCGAGGCCCGCGAGGACCTGGCTGCCCTCGAGAAGGACTACGAGGAGGTCGCTGCCGACTCGTACGAGCCCGATGCCGAGGAGGCTGAGTACTGAGCGGGAGAAGGAGATATGTCTAATGCGCAGTGTTCCCCGACCCCTGAGAGAAGCTGTATGAGCCCCTGAAATTACGAATGATGAAAGAAAGACCCTGAGACCCTGAAAGACCCTGAAGACCCTGAAAGACCTTGACAGACCCTGAGACCCTGATTGTTTTTGAGGGGAGTTTTTCACACCCCCTGAAATTTATTTTTGCTTGTGTACGTACGTACCATGTGTGGAGGAGGATGATGATACATAGGTGGATAAGTTCGTTTTCTCATGTTTCCGTGCCGTGGCACTGGTTAGGAAAGGATCACTATCACCTCCCCCGTAGTTTTTGACAGTCTTAGAAGAGAAAGTTGATGCCACCCCCTAAGATGAGAACATCTAATGAACTGTGCGAGCCATTTTTAGTGTGATTTTAAAATCTCCTTAGGCACCGTAGTTTTGTGAAATGATGTCTATCATTCCGGGTCTATCTGGTATCATGAGTGATGTAGTCATGGCGCGCAGAAGGCTGCAAAACACTTATATACCATATCGAGTCTTCCGACAATGGATGCCTGCTTCGCAAGCATATATACTCGACAACGCCTTACTATCGTGGTTGTTCACGGTCTATTTGCCTGGTCGTTTTCCCTTGAACGGCCTCTTCTGCACACCACCCTTCTTGTGCGACCCCTTGCGGCCCATCTTCAGGTCCCTTGGCTTGCCATCTCTCGAGCTGGCCCGACGACCCTCAAAGACGATAGCCTCGGGAGTCTTGATGTCCGCCGGCCCAGCAGACGACCGCCCGTAGCCCTTGCCGTTGACACGTGGCGGCGCCGAGTCCGTCGAGCCGCGCTTGCCAGACTTCCCTGACTTGGAAATGCGCGCGCGCGCCGCCTCCGATGCAGCCAGGCGTTCCTTCTCCCGGAGCGGGCCTGCTGCCGAGCGGCCTAGCAGCTTCTCCGCGCGGCCGGCGAGCGTCTGCTCCTCGGCGGTGCGCTTGCGGACGTAGCCATTCTGCGCCGCGGCGGGAGGCTTCCTGTCTTTGAAGCTGGCCTTGCCCTTGCCCCCGTCTGCGATGATCTTGTCCTTCTTGGACTTCTCCATGGCGCGGGCGGTCTTGTACGGGGCCTTGCAGCGGCTGACGCGCAGCTCTCGGGGGAGCATGGGCGGGAACTTCTTGCCGTTGAGGAGGAGGGCGGCTTCTACTGAGTTGGCGTCCTGTGGAGATTTATTAGTAGTGCTCGTTATGGGTAATGAATGTACTTTGGGTGGTAACTCACGTAGAACTGCACGTAGGCAATGCCCTTGCCAACTCTCGTAGTCGAGTCTCTGACAACTCGCACGCTCTCAACCTTGCCGGCACGCTCGCCAAACTGGCGCCACAGGCCCTCCTCCACGTCCATGGGCACTTTCGTCCGCTTGCGCTTCTCCGTCTGCTCCTTGCCCTCCTCATCGATCTTGACGTTCAGGACGGTCTCGTCGTCCACGAAGCCTAGATTGCCTACGAACACACATCGGCGGTGGTCCACCTCTGATGGATGCGCTACGCTGTCTACCCTCAGATGGCGGTCGAGCACGGTCGTGCCGTTCAGCTTGGTGACGGCCGCGCGGACGGCGGCCGGGGTGCTGTAGACGACGTATGCGTTGGTCGACTTTGTGGTTGCGTCCATGACCTCCTTGTTGATGTATGCGGCGCGCTTGGGCACGGCGGCTGTGGAGAAGGCGACGGAGCGAAAGCGGATGGACTCGATTTTCTGGGCTGGGGATGCGGAGCTGTCGAGGACGGAGGAGAGGTGGGCGAGGAGAGCCTTCTTGGCTTTGCGCGAGGTGATGGCCTCAACGGAGACGTTGGAGAGGAACACTGTGCGGCCGGCCTTCTCAATCTCGTCCACCTTGGAGTCTTTGCTGAGAGATTCGTGGACGATCTCGGAGCCAGAGTCTGAGTCTTCTTCGGGCTTCTTCAGGAGTGACTCGTGGACTATGACTTCATCACCGGCGGCTTGTGTCTCCTCCTTTCGTCGCTTGATAACGGGAGTGTCATCGTCGTCAGCGAGTTTGTCCAGGTACTTGCCCTCCAAATCGTCTAGCTCGTCCTGCTTCCTCTTCCGTTTCTTCTCCTGTCTCCTAGCGTGGGCTGCCAATTCTGAGACAGTCTCCTGTTGATCCTCACCCTCTGAGCTGTCCTCATTTGAGTCTCCGGACGCTTCGCTGGCATCGCCCTTCTCGTCCTCGCTTTCATCTTCAAGGTCCGAGCCAGCGTCGCTTCCTAACGAACTTAGCTCTTCATCGTCGACCTCTTCATCTGCTTCGTCGGCTTTGGCAGGGTTTTTTGATCTAGAGGCAACTAGTTCGGCATAACGGGATTTCTCTGGAGCCTTGACAGGGCCGGCCTATCGATATGTGAGCCACAGGGGGTCAATTGGTTGTCTGGAATTCGCATATACTTACACTTGCTGAGAAGAGTGCATCGAGCGCGGGGTCGACCGCTTTGGAGGATACGGAAAAGATAGAGCTTCTGTAGTTTGATTAGAGAGAAAGATCTTGGTTCAAAGAATCAAACTCACTTTTTTGCCATCTTTTTGGCGGAGTAACTCTTCAAGCTGGAAAAGTTGCACAGTCCCGCAAGTTTGCTGCCTCCTTGTACGGCAACTCGAGAATCGCATGGCAGAAATTCTCAGAAAATGTTCCTGAGCGACAAGGATGGCGGCCGTGGATCTGCTTGGTGGGGTTAGGCTAGTACAGTAAGTATAAGGCATCTTACATGCTGATAAAGAGTACTCACCTATCTGGCGGAGAACGACATGCGGGCCGGATTTTCTCCGAATGCCTCACCGCCTACCGAATCGGGGTCATCTGCCAAAACCGGGCAGAGTAGTGGAATTTGGAGCGAGGAAGAGGAGCGATGAGGTCGGCGGTGGCAGGTCGGCCGGCTTGTCAGGTCCCTCCACTGGCACCCATCATCCATCTCGTTCACCCTCTCCTCCCACGCAAAATCGTCCACCACGCACCTCCCACAGCCCACCTCGCCCTCCCGGACAGATGTGACGAATCCGAAGCTTGCAGACAAGAGAAAGACTCTTCGTTGCATTCGTCGCATCGTTTATTACTTGTTTTCTCTGCCCCAGCTCGCGCTGCCCACCTCCCGAAGACTCGTCTCCGATTCTTTGCTGTCGCCAGCTCCCCCGACCCGTCTCCGCAGCGTTGCGCCCGCCAACACCACCCAAATCGACCCTCTCCTTGAACTCCTCTACGACTATTGACTTAATACGACTGCTAAGAACACATTTTCGACAATGGCAACCGGCGACACCGCCGTCTCTATCCACCTGGCGAACCGGCCTCCAGTGCTGGCCGAACCCAGCGACAGCAACATCTCGAGCCCCTTGAGTGACGTCGAGGATAAGGATGCCGACGGCGAAGACATGGACATCGACCTAAATAATGGTCATGCCGACGAGCAAAAACACGGCGATCACGAGTCAGACGACGGAGGCGGTTCTGCTTCTCACGCCGCCTCCGACGACGAAGACGATGACTCCAATCTGTCGGAGGTCGACGTCAATGACTCTGAGGCCGAAACAGAGCGCCTCTACGACACTCCACGGAAGAATACCGACATTCGCGACACCGTCGTCATCAGCAGCGAGACCGTCAACGGTGGCACTCCCACCACTCGCGAGCGCATCTTCGAGCGCAGCCCCAGCAAGCTACAACAGCAGATCCAAGCTGACGTAGACGCTGAGAATGCCCGTGAGGATGACGAGGACGACGATGACGAGCTCTCAGACGAGCCTGACGACGAAGATCGTCATGACGACAATTCCTCGGTCGCCCCGAGCGAAGCTGAGTCGGACCACGAAGCGCCCGTCAAGGCGAAAAAGATGTCGCTATCACCCGAAAAACAAGATGAGATCGTGGCCCAGTCTACAATTGTCGAGGACGTGCTGCTTGATTCCGCAGAGGAGACGCGAAAGCGCAAGCGCTCTCCGACGGCGGAGGTGTCCGAGTCGGACCAACCCCTCAGAAAACGAACGGGCTCGGTCGCGGCCCCTGGCAAAACGTCACCGACAATTGATCACTCAGTCAAAGACGATGAGCTTCTAGATACGTCAACGAATGATCACAGTGGTGAACATTCTGGAGACGAGGATGCCGAGGATCTGGCGTCCAAGGACAAGCCCGAGGACGTCGCTCAATCGGTCGAGAATGTACCTACCGAGACAACACGATCCAAGAAACCCAAGCGCAATGGCGGGAAAAAGCGCAAAGGGTCCGACGAAGAAGATAGCGAAACACTCAATCAAGACGCACAACCAGCCGACGAAGCTGTCGCTACCGACGAGCACAACGCCGAGGAAGAGAACGCTGAAGCTGAACACGACGAGGAAGCTGAGGCGGCTCAAAGAAACGAGGAAGAACGTAAGAATAATTGCCGGTACTGCTATGAGGATAGTATAGCTGACACGCATTTTGCAGTGGAAAGGAAAAGAGCCGCTTTTGAGCAATTGACTGCCATAGAAAAACACTTTGCGGCGTTTAGAGACCGGTAAGTTTTGCGCGACCCTCACCATTACTCACCATAGCTTGCTAATTGTTTATTGTAGATTATACGAAGAGCGACTTGCCCAGCTCAACGAGGAAGAGGCAATGCTCACCAGCGAGAGCCCGACACACCCCGAGTATCTCGCCATGATGCATTGCATTGATGCGCGTCGAGACGAAAGACTTCGTGTCGTAGATGTCGAGTATAAGCTCAACATGGAAGCACTAGAACGCTGGGCAGTGGCTCGACGAGCCCAAATTCTATCGCAATTCTACCAGAGCATACGCGAATCTAGAGAAAAAGTCTTGGAAGAGCTCGGCCGACAGTGGTACGAGATACAGCACGAGCGCCGGCGTTATGCCGCCAACAGCATCCCTGATTATGGCATTCGCTTCCCGGTGGCGAAGGCCCAGCAAAAGAGACATGCCATTGCGCATAGTAAGGAAGTTTCGATTCTATCAGGTATTGCGAGACATGAGGGCTTCCCCGCGGCGCCTGAAATGAAAGGCGCAACAGTCTCTGAAGTGGACGAGGATTTAGAAGCTATCACTGTAAGTATACATTTGCGTAGGCCTTGTGTACCGCAACCGTATGCTGATACCATCTTGCAGAGAGCGCGCCAAAGCGCACAGCAGCCTGGCACAGCAAACCCACCACTTCCCGAAGCATATGGAGGACTGGCTTTTGGTCGTAGCCTTGGAGCTGCCGGAGAGCAATTCCTAGAACAGACTCCATGGGCGAATCCCAATCACCCTTCTCATCAGATTCAACGTCAGCATTCGCAGCCAGAACGGACGAGCAGTCCCTTCTCGGGGCCGTCTGGCAATAGACGACACTCGCATAACCAAGCCGCCACTTTTGCATCAAGCACTAATTCGACCTTGGCAGCAGCCAGCATCCTAAACGGAGAATCCCCATTACAGAAACGCGCGGTGGCTCCAGACCACGAGCTGACAGGACCGTCCAAAATGCCTCGAGACAGCGGGCCGAAGCTAGAAGCGGTTGCTCAAGCATCATGACGATTCACCTGTCCGTGTTTTTCTTTTTGACTACGATACCCATGGAATATACGTCCGTGTTCCAATTTAAGGAGGCTTTGGCTGGGTGTTCAAATTTTTTTCCAGGCGAGTACGGTTGTGCGGATATCTCCCTGTCAACGATATGTCACCGCACTCGGAATTTTGCTGTCTATATCATGGAAGGGCGATTATGTTTGGTTCTCATCAGGCCCTGTACGGCAGAGCGCCGAGGTATAAAGGTGTTAGGTCATAGCTTTTTTTTTGTTCTTATGTCGTAGATACATGTAGATATGGCGTCTAGGAAGGATTCCGCAAACATAAGCTCCAGGCCTTAGGGACAGTTTTGTATACCATACACTTGAACTACACCGTTGTGCCAATTTTGTCCGTCAAGTGATCTTGCGACTATCTCGCTTCTCCCCCTAGAAAGCAACCAAAACGCCATTGTTGTTTTGTACATTCCGCAACGTGGCCGCGTGGAGATGGAGACTCTTCAGTGCTTAGCCGCTTTCGTTTGCGGTACAGGCGAATCGGGCACCTTGACATCCTCGAACTCGTCCTGCCCAACCGCCTTGATCGTGTAGACATCTGCGTTCTCTCTGTCAGCTCCGGTACTCGAATACCGCCCCGTGCCTTACGAGTGACCTACAGACGGCGGCTGCAAAGGCAGCTATGCCAATGCCGGTTATCGCATTCTTGACTAGGTATGGTCGTCGGGCTCGTATCAGAGCTTCGGATTGACGGTGGTTTTGGTAGTAATAGCTGTTTCTTTGAATTCTGTAGAATAGAGTATTAGCGAGCGCTATGTGCGGCGACCTAGATACCGGCTGCTTACCCTGCCATTGTGACTGTTGTTGCTACTCGGAGCAGCTTTGAATAGGTCAGCGATGGGTTGATAATAAGGAATCGGATGTTCTCCAAATTCTATAACGGACCAATGGGGCAGTTTTGGGCCGGCACCGTCTCAACTCTAGACGGCAGCGATACGGTACCGGCGTGATTGGCGCTGCATGAAAGGCGGTTATTCTCCGGCAAATCACGTAGCTCCTCCGTTTTCTTACTCCCCCTGCTACCACTACGTCTTTGTGGCTCGTGTTGCTTCCCTGCTCTGGCGCTGCAAACCTTCCCAAAACTTCAGCACTTAAAGGCGACGGAGGGGGAATCAAGACGACAATGAACAGCGAGTGGCATTGATGACTCTTTGTGGCTTTGTTTATTAACGTCGTACCTGCCATTCACCTTCTCACTTACTGAACCTCCTTCAAGTGCCAGACGAATTGCGCGCGGCAGAATGCAGAGCTCTGCTCAAGCGCGCCTGTTTCTACTGTCCTCGACAAATCGATTCAGCCTGCCCTCAGGCTGCGCACCCATCTACAGCTTCACGCCACGGTGTTGACGTTTTAGCCCAACAACATCAGATATACGCGCATTCGACTCAGACTTGCATTATTCTCGATACCGATTTTGACCATCGCCCGCGACAATCCTCTTTTTCCTCCCCTCCGCTGCCTTGTCCCACCTGGTGGGCTGTCTGCCTGGATACCAACACCATAGCTCCATATTCGTAGATCTTGAAGCAAGAGAACTGCCATTCTCCCTTCAAAAGTGGACCGTCCATCATGGCCCAGCAGAACATGACCCCGGAAGAGCAGCTCCTGCAGCTGCGCGATGCGAGGAAGCTTGTGCTGTCTGATGTCAAATACTACCCCAACATCGTGCAAGTCGTCCTGCCCATCCTCGCTCCCACGTCGGGTCCTACCGTACGGAGATGGGTCGCCGACTTCATCGCCGAAGCCTTTGCCTCGCCTGCACTTCCTTCTAAGGACAAGGAAACGTTGTGCCTGTTGGTTTTGGAGCATCTTAAGCAGACGCTGGAGCGGCCGAAGGAGGACCCTTATGTTCTGCAGAGCGCCATCATGGCAGCTGCTAGTATATACCCGCTTGCGATGCGATGGATGTGCGTACCCCTTTTCCATGCCAGATTTGCCATGCACTGTTCCTACGTCTTGCCTTGATATGCGCCTAGACTCACTGCGCACGCTGTGAGCGCGGCAGCTGTTGGGCACGACTACGTCACCTTTTGAGATGCATTGAGCCATTGCTGACCGGATGTTCTGGTGTAGAATCAACAACTCATACGATACACCGACCTGGGAACGGATGTCCGCTATTAAGTCAAGAATATTTCGACTATGGGACGAGTCGACAACCTCCATCAAGATCTGCTGCGTCAAGTTTACACAACGTGTCGTACTGGCCCAGACGGCTACCAATGTCGAACAACAAAGGGTAAGGCTGGTTCACGAGACGAATACACGCGTGGGACGATGCTGATTAAATATAGCGCGATGGCCTTGAGGTTTCTCTTGCGATGGTGCCAGCGGGACATACTCTCCTTGATCCTAGGAATTTAGAGGCGGAAGCAACTGGATTGCTAGACAGAATGCTAGGAGTATTGCAGGACAACAGCAGGTACGGTGACTCCCACTCATCTCGATAACTTGGTCTGACATAATTGGTGCTTGCGTAGTGATGCATTGGTAGTCGATGCTACTTTGAACTGTCTGTCAGTTCTCGTCCGAACCAGGCCCTCAACAGCGAGTCGCATCATGAATGCCATCTTGAACTTCAACCCTCTCAAACTCGCCAATTCTCCGATGACCCCCAAGACCCGAGTCCTCGTCAAGTCTATGGAAAAGACCACACGAATGCTCCTAATACATCTCTCAAAGCGGTATGTGGACACCAAGTTCTTTCTTTTCGTGCTCGTCTCACAAGATTAAGTGACCCTCATAACCCATTTGCGCCTCGTATCCAACAGTATGTCGAGCGGCTACTACGCTCCCGAAGTGAAATCTTCGACGATGCCAGCAGAAAACGAGCCTTCGCCGAACAGCAAGCAGCCTACATTGAGGCTAAGCGGCAGCGGCTGAGTGCGGACACCGCTCCTGCACCCCACGTACAAGTCCAGCCTCTTGCCCCAGGCCCGAACAGCCTCGCGGCGATCTTTACGCTTACTGGCAACACTGGACTGCAAGGCTTTGATGCTGCTCAGATGCCCGCGCCAATGGCGGCTCGGATAGCTGTATCTACTTTATCTCGATTAGATCCCCAAATCCTCACCTTAGCTGTGACCGTGAGTTATTACTATATGCCTGGTCTTGCTTCCTCTGTGCTAACTTTTCTAGGGTATTCGTGACCGACTAGCATCTCTAGCTGCTACACAAGCGCAGGCTATAAATCCGGATACTGCACCGTTAGGTGTTGAGGAGGACGATGACGATTATGAGCCGGACTACTACGCCGCCGAGGATACAGAACAGATCCTTAATAAACTCGATGGAGAGGCTCAAGAAGAACAGGCACCAAAGCTCGAGGCCGCATCACTTGCCTTAGGAGCATTCAAGCTACCGCCTGCGCCATCACTTAATCCGGATATCGCAGCGCAAGCTGGTCAGGGTACAGTCACTCGCGTGTTTGGTGCCATGCAGCAACTGGAAGACCCTATAGTAAAGAAGCCGAAGGCGGGTATTAACCGACTGGCAGCCAGCTCGTACGATCGAGACTCATGGCTCACTGTCATCACCCGTCTTGCGACACGCGCGTCCGCCGGACTGGAAAACGTTTCCGTGAAGGACGAGAACGGCTCTGCGCTTGCTGACAGGAATCGACCGAGCCTCAGCAACGCAATCCGCGAAATGCTCTACAATTACGTCCTAGAAGATTTCCGAAAACGGATAGAGGTTGCTGTTGCCTGGCTTTGTGAAGAGTGGTATAATGATGCCCTACAGAAGCGATATAGCACTGATGCTCCTTTGCATTATGACAAGTGGGCATTAAAGCTGGTTGATGGTTTTTTTCCTTACCTCAACCCCCAAGATAAGGTTCTCACCCGATTCCTTGGCGAGATCCCAGAAGTGAACGCGTCGATCCTTGCTCGGGTTACGAAGCTGTGCAGGGATCCGTCGATGGTTCAACTGGCGATCACGAGTCTTCTGTACTTGGTCATGATGAAGCCGCCGGCACGACTCTTGGCACTCAACACGGTGCAGGATATCTGGTTTGAGTGTAAGTTTTTGCCCCTTTCTGTGCAATACTCGCGATCAACTGACAGAGTTGTAGATGAGGATGCTCGTCCCATGGCTGGAAAAGTCCTGGTCAAATGGCGCCCTGGCTTTATAGAGTCGCATAGTGGCTCAAACGAGGGCAGTATACCATCAGGATCTAGTGGTGTGGCTGTTGCGACATGATAGTCTGCTTCACTTTCAATCAGAATCTACGAGGCGTTTTTCGCGTGTATACTATAATCGACATACCAACAGGCAATCCGGGCAACTAGAGTCGCCTTCTCGCAGAGCCAGTTAGGGCGCACCACATGAAGGGAATTAAGGTAGCCAGGCTGCGTTCATGTTCATTAGGTAAGCGAGCCACGCGCTTGTTCGACGGCGGAACTGGGAAAGTGATTGTGAGGATAGATATGTTGGCAGAAAACCCGGAACATACAGGAAAGCTGGCATGAAAAGCAAATCAGGCGTTTTTGGTTTCCTCGAGAAGAGGAGGAGTTGGTCAATGCTGGGAGTAATGGCCCTTGTTGTCGATACCTAAGCTTGAAAAGGTGAAGTGTTGTGGTTGAGAGCCTTTTCACGCAGAATAGTGAATTGCAAATCAAGATCATTGCTAGTACTTGGCTATGCAGGTAATCTGCAGAAGCTGAACTTCGAGCTGTATCTGTTGTATCAGGCTTGTGAGTATGCGAGGTGATCTAGTTCTGCAAGAGCATTGCGTTGTCCCACAAGATAAGCCACAGCCGGCAAGGCAAGGGCGCGCAGCGTCCGCTAAGTCTAAGATTGCAGTGAAATATGTGTAAAAGCCAGGGAAATAAGGCATCGAGGCTGAAAAGGCAACATCCTTGTGGCTTGTCAGTATTTAGAGCAATTATACGCATGATCAATCGGCTTGTAAATTGCCCGTTACTTCCAAGTCATTAAGTTGAAGAAACCATACGGTCATCGCCCAGGAGACCTCCTTGGGCAAACTCACTCGTGATCCCAAATGTATAGGTATATTGTGGTGGAAGTGTCGAGCAGTGATTGCGTAGCTATGTCCATCACCTCTCCACTCGCCAATTTCATGCGATCTACATGAGCAAGACTACATGCCGGTGTCTATTGCCCACATCTCCCTCACCTATTCTCAAACATTCTGTATTTTTAAGTCTGATCTATAGCTTAACCATCGGATCTCTCAGTTCGAGTCGATGTCTAAAGATCTTGCTACGCCACTCCGGGAAATTCATAGCTCTATAAATTCGCCTTGGGGAGGAGGCTCGTCGTCTCGTTCACATGCCAGAGGCGAACTAATGACCCTTGCTTCCCATACACAGGGTCACTCTCGGGCTTTGCAGTGTTCTCGATCGTCTGAGTAAGTGCGGCCGCGGGTTTCTTTCCCATTTCGTTGGTCCATTTGGGACAACCTTGGCGACAAAGGTAAGCCGAGCAACTTCTACATCATCGAATGGTTTGTCTTACCTCAGGGTAAACTCCAATGTAACGGTAGTCAGGCGAGCTTTCCAGACTTGAGTGCGCTGTCCCTGCGGGCAGGACTATGACATCCCCGGCTTTGACATCGACTTCCACATGGTTTTCGCCTTGAGGCGAGATCTTCCCTAGCAATAATCGTGATTTGCCCTGGAATATACCTTGTTCAGGTTTAGTAAAACTTCTAGCAGATAGATTCGATGTCTTCTACCGTAGCATTCATGACTGTTGGGATGAAAATGGCGAATACCGATATGTCCCCACGTGCCCTGTGGCCAGATGCATCAGTCGTCCGTTGATAATGAGAGCTTCAACTGCCATTGAATTTACACACCCGTTGCTCCCGCCCGTTCTTTGTCAAGTAGGACGATGTTGACTGTTCGCTATATGGCTTGGGGAGAACATTACGGCAGTGAAGAACTGGTAAACGACTGTTTGGAACGTCCTGATTGGGGGATATAAAATAACATTGAATCTCCTGTGACCCCATTGTGTGAGGTATCCCTTGATCCCAAAATGAAAATGACCATCATTGAGTCGCGTCTTAGAAATCAATTCAATTTACGCATTGATAAGGTCAAAACATGCGAGTTTCGCTTGCCCTCACTTGCGCCTCGGTACGCGGGCCGCCCTCCGCCCTCCATTCTCCACCACCCAACATCCACCCGGTCCGCCTTGTTATCGTAACTTTGGAGCATGGAACAACGTGTTGTATTCCATAATTTACTCGCCAGTCCTACATGCCGTATAGTGTGTCTACTTTGCTGACCTGTTCTATAGATACACCCCACAAGCACTCAGTGTTGAGAATCGCGGCCTTGGAAATGGCCTGCTCATGGGTGTTGGTCGTGCAGCCTCTCTCAGTGCCCCCTTCATCGCAACCTTTGCTGATGTGACCACGTCTGCACCGATATGGGTCTCATGTGGATGTTATATTATCATTGGGTCGCTGGCTCTCGTCCTTCCGGTAGATACTGTTCCGTTTTGAGAGTTGACCCCAAGGTAATCATTCTTTGCGAGTGTGCTGTGGATAAGGAAGTGCTGGAGCACTGAGTGCGGATTCTCTTTTGTTTGAATTTGTTTGAATTAGTGATATTTGATTCTCTGTGAGCAGAGCGCAGAATAAGATTATCCTTTTCTTTCAGGAGTCTGCTCTGTATTCTAAGCCAAGAACAGCTGAAATGACCAAATTGGAAAGAAGTCGCGGTTTTCGACTCTTAAGTCCCTGGAATCACCACAGCTAAGGAATCGAGACGTCCTGGTTTTGAACATTCAGAACATTGACAAACGTGAGATGTATACGCGTTGCTGGGCTTGTTGTATATTTGATAGTTGTTGACGTGCGAGTCCATTCACTATGGTAGAAGGAGATAGGCAAGGGTGCTGAAGAGTCTTAGGCGTCCGTGGACTTTGGCTCGCTGTGGGAATTGATCACCGTAAGTTTAATCATTGAAGCATCAATTTGTACAGTAGATGTTATTCAAATCGGTACTGTCGTACAGGATTCGATGTCTTTCACTCACATCTAAAAGGGGCGGTTAGAAAGCGAATAGGTAGTCACAAACCCGTAGCCTTCTTTTGGACCCCAACAGCAACCTTCCCTTTCCGGTATAAGTGACGTGCTCCACCACTTCAGCCGGTTCAGCTACAGGCTTACTGCGTGAAAGCTGCATGCTGTGCACACACACTAAGTTGCCTAAAAGCTGTCGTCGTACATATACAAAACTCGCAAAGCGTCGCAAGCCCCTCTCGTGAACATTTATGCCTGATCATGCACGCTTTTCGAAGGCAAGCAGCAGCCCATATTGGCATCGCATCTTCCCCTAGATACGCGCGGGTATTGTACCCTTAATCGTGATGCTTATGCGGGCGAAGAAAGCCATATAACGGCAATATGGGTTCCATAAGGTCACACCGCGGTAAACCAGTCAACAGCGTCTCGGTGCAACCGATTGACAGCGATGGAATTAGCGAAGTCGGAAGTGCCAGCGACAACAGCAACCATCCTCCTGCTTACTACAGCCACCGAGCTGCATACACTTCAATGCTTCTTGACGGCGACTTATCTGATTATCGTCACTCTGATCCGGTTACCTATCAGAAAAACGAAGACCACATTGACCCATTCCCCGCAAGCTCAAGCGCACAAACGAATTCTACCCTGCCCCAAAAGTTTGATCACTATCCTTCAATACCTCCGTATTCAGAGGAATCAGAGAGATATCATGTCTTCAGATCCTGGAAATGGGAGTTTTTAGGACTCTGTCTGGCGTTTGGACTGATGGCTGCCATTTTCACTCTCTTGGGTGTCTTCCAAGGCAAGGCTGTGCCAGACTGGGGAACCGCTATCAACCTCAGTGCTCTGCTAGCCCTTTTAGCAACCATTCTGCGGGCGAATCTCGTCGTTATTGTCGGTCGAATCATTTCGCAGGCTAAATGGGACTGGTTCTCAAATCAGAAACCGCGTCCTCTCCGACATCTACAAGATTTCGATTCCGGAAGTAGGAGCGCGTTAGGATCAGCACGGTTGATCCGTACTGCCAACAAGGACAATCTTGTGGCATCAATCTCAGCTGCTCTCATGATTTTCTCTTTAGCTATTGGTCCATTTGTTCAACAAGCTATCAAAACTACGGGTTGTGCACATCCAATTGATGGAGTTGTTGCAACACTTCCGTACGCACATTATGTTCCGGCCATGGGAACATATGACAATTTCCCGTACCCTTATGGTGCTGCGCGTATTGAGCAGGACACAAATGTGGCAATCTTGATTAGTTTGACCAGACAGCAAAGTCAGAGCAGCCAGATTCAGCCAGTCTGTTCTACGGGCAATTGCACTTTCCCGAATGGCAACCCCATTGACGACACAACCTTTAAGGCGAATGGAAGCGGGCAGAGCACATTCTCTACAATTGGTCTATGTACCAAGTGTGTTGATGTATCTTCACTCGTGAAGTTGATATTCACTACTGGCGGTAGTCACAATGGTACCCGCGACGATGCATATGCGAGGACTTATGGCTTGCCAAACCATCTTAACATCAGTTATCAAGCATATGGAACATTCCTCGAAGTCCAAACCGATTTAGATCTTAATTGGACTGGGACCGCTTTGCCCTCCGAGATGAAAGTCAATTCAAGATGGGCGTTCGCAAATGTCTCCATACTTACTTTCTCACAAGTCGGCTGTGAGCAAGTGAGTAGCTGGACTCCAGAATGTCCAGTTGGAAATATTGACAGACTGGACGATTCCGACAACCCGAATGGACGAGCCGGTATAGTGGCTATAACGTGTATTGTCTACCCTTGCATCCGAAAATTCGTCCCGACAATAACCAATAACGTCTTGGAGGAATATCAACTCGAAAGCACCCCGGTATTCCCAGATTTGTTTGAGTCCCAAGCTTCAGATGCATCGTCCCTGAATGCTAACTCCAATGCCGGCTCCGGGACAAGCAATTTTCACTATGTTGGTATACAGACTCCTTGTAAGGTCAAAGATACTATTTATACGGCTCAAAACATATCAGCTGCCCAAAATGCCACCAAGTTACGTGTATACCAGCCGGGTGACGACGGGACTTTTCGTGTGCAGAACACGACAGCTCCAGAGGAGTGCATATTTCGGCATAACGCCGTTTTTGGATCCTATCTAGCAACTCAGTTCCAGGACGAAATCTTTACTGGCGACTGTTCAGCAACACCACAAAATGGAGACGTGAGCTGCAGTTCCAATGGTGCCGACCGAACATTTGGAAAGTGGATGGAGCTTGTTTACAACGAAGGCAATGCGACTATGGCGACCATCAGCTCATTTTTGGACTCATTTGCCATGATGATGACGAACGAATACCGAGTATCCCTTGGAACATCCTCATTCAATCCCCACGACTACATTGATACTGAAATACCGCGGGAGTTGCCGACAGGACTTGTAGACGGCCTTGTTTGGTCGACAACAATATGCACATCGATGAAATGGGAATGGTTGCTCTTGCCTAGTTTGCTCGTGATTTTAACTGGATGTTTATTTTTCTTGGCAGTTTATCGAAGCTGGAATCGCCGATATATTGAGCCTGTCTTCAAAGACAGTATACTGCCACTTTTATACTATAGGCAACGATTCCAAACTGAGAGGGATCCGACGTTTTCAGCTCTTAATCCAGAGACCGATTTAGGAACCACCCCAAACAACTTGGACAAATCATCGATGAAGCTTATGGAGGTCAGTCAATTGAAGGAGATTGCAACAGCAGTATCAGCACGGTTCCGTTGGAATGGCCTCAGAGATGATGAAGCCCAGAACCAAGATTTTGGGACTAGTACTGGGCATACGAGCAGCCCTTTACAGTGGACAAGCACCAGAAGGAAAACCGCTGTGGAGAAATTAGAAACGGACTCTCTTCTGAACGTCGATTTATAGTGTCCTATTTCCTCTTGGTATCAATTACAAGATCTTATGATATTCAGCAATGCTCAGGGAACACATTCAAAGCCTCGACTTGGGTTACTACCCTGCACTAAATATTGGGGTCAAATGTTTATGGGGATATGGCTCCTGCGCTAAATTATACTAAATCCCTTCGTGGAAATTTTCGTCTTTGAATACCTCTTGCGCTTCTAATGGCAGACTTTAACAAGACAACGAGCGAAGGGTATCAAGGTGTCGACGTTATCGGGTTGGATAAGTGTCGCCAAGTTGTTATCGGAATTAGGCTGTCTTAGCATTATCCCTTGTCACCGAAGACCGCCATTAGCGCCAGCACTGTCTCTGAACGGGAATGGTACCAATGATAACAACTAATAATTAATAACGATCCATAGCCGCGAAAGATAAGAGTCCCATCGCATTGTCCAGATCCATTTTGGGATGTTTTTCGTAAATAATGTTTCATGGACATTGTCATTACATGATATCTATCAGATGAGCCTGGTTTGCTAACTCCTTGACCTTTCCATCGCAATATCAGAAGAGATTAATGTAGGATCCTGAGTACGCCTCCATCTTTACCTGAGACATAGATCTGGTATTTGAGAGTTAAAGATAATCTGTTTATGTCTTCTTGATTTCCAAAAAACCCTACAGATAGTAAGCATACCTGATAGCATGATCCATAGCACAAGAATTCCCGTATGGGAAGAAATTGTGCAAAGGAAGCGAGCGGTCCGGGATGCAGCTTTACCTTCAGAATGGCTGCTTCGACCCGGCCAAGTCATGGACGATCAATTAGATGTTATGGATGTGCCCACAAAATGTGGGATACTATCAACACGAGAAATCGAGATCACAGAAATGGACGCGGTCACGCTCGTGCAAGAGCTTATCAACCGCCGGTATAGCTCGTATGAGGTGTGTTTTTCTTTTTTACTTATGAGACTAGAAGAGGAACTGATCCATCTACATAGGTTACACTGGCTTTCTGTAAGAGAGCTGCAGTTGCACAACAGCTGGTAAGCCTTGTCATATGATTCAGTGTTGAGTTAGAGCTAACTTCTTCTTCCATAGGTCAATTGTTTGACCGAGATTTTCTTTGCAGAAGCACTTGAGGCAGCTAAGACTCTAGACGATGAATATGAGGCGCAAGGTAGGCCACGAGGCATCCTGCACGGTCTACCTATCTCACTCAAAGATTGCTTCCGCATTAAGGGGACCGATGCTACAATCGGGTATACCGCGTTTGCAGAGCAACCGACACAACAAGGTGAGGAGTCAGAAATCACCAAGATCATGCGAGAAAGCGGCGCAATTTTGTTTTGTAAAACCAATGTCCCGCTAGCTCTGATGGCAGGCGAGGTATGTATATGCGGTTCAAGTCACATACACGAAACTGATGGAGCGTACAGACATATAATGCCATATACGGTTACACTTCCAACCCCTATAACCGGAGGCTTTCCAGTGGCGGTTCATCCGGTGGGGAGAGCGCGTTATTAGCTCTACACGGAGCTCCTCTTGGTGTTGGCACAGATGTTGGAGGCTCCATCCGTAAGTCAAAAACATCTAACCGACTAGGTGCACGGACTGATAGTTGGAAGGAATACCTGCTTCATTTTGCGGCCTTTACTCACTCAAACCCTCTTTCGGGCGCTTCCCGACCTATGGCCTTCGGGATGGGCTTGAGGGACAGGAAGCAGTGCGGAATGCAGTCGGACCCATGGCCAGGTCTCTGGCAGCAGTTGAGATGTGGAGCAAGGCGGTAATTAAGTCTGAGCCGTGGATGAGAGTTGATCCAGATTGCGTCCCAATTCCATGGCGCGAAGTGGACATTCCAAAGAGGCTTTGTTTTGGTAGTCGTTCCTAGCCCAGAAATTGTGTCGGTTCATACTGATCTACTTAGGTCTCTTGCTTGACGACGGGATCGTGAAGCCTTTACCTCCTGTCTCTCGAGCCCTGCTCCAAACGAAAATGGCGTTGGAAGCCGCAGGACATGCTGTAATTGAATTCTCCATGTGAGTAAACTTGGCTAGTTTTGCCTAAGAGTCTTGCTTCATCTACCGTCTTAGGAACATGAAAATTCCATGCTCACCTTTGTTAGAGATGAACCACTTTTCACAGAGACACTCAAGTTCTCGCTTTACCGTTCTGCTGCAGCAGATTTACTGGATAAAACGCTCGCCCAAACCGAGGAGCCTTGGCCCAAGGGGTACGAGATGCTCGAAGCTATGGCAAATAGAACCATTAGCAGCCGAACCCGCAATGACACCTCCTTTGGTGATTCAGCCGGGCGTCCGACTGAGAACCCAGCCACGGTGTCTGATCTATGGGTGGCACAGACAAAACGGACTGAGTTCGCTAAACGGATATTAGAGACATGGACTGCAACTAAAAGGAGAAGTGGAACAGGTAGAGAAATGGATGCTCTGCTCCTGCCATGTAGTCCTTGGCCAGCATCGCCAAAGTAGGTGGCCACAGTGCTGAGGAACAAAGAATATGCTGAACTCATTACCGCAGGCATGGCTTCATTTACGATAACTATACCAGCTTATGGAACGTGCTCGACTACTGCGCGACAACTCTTCCCATTACAAAAGTATCGCAATTTGAGGAACCTTTGCCAAGTTTCGCTGGTCGAAACGACATTGAGAACCAAGTTTGGCGCAACTGTATGTCTCTAACAAGACCGAGCTTGGTGGAGAGACAAGTTGACGCAACACAGATTTTCCTCGAGACATGACGGGTTCTCCGGTCTCTGTACAGCTTGTTGGGCGGCGTCTGAATGAAGAGTATCTTTTGGGAGTTACACGGGTTTGCGATGATGCCCTGAAATGGAGGAATGAAAATGCATCATAGCCAGATTGTAATTTGAAGACAGACATGTTTCTGTGTCTTCAGTTGCTAACGCTTAATCATCTTCCTGCTCAGTATATCTCTCAGCCATCGAGTCAACTACGCAACTGAGTATGGTGGGGTATATTGCCCCTTCACATCTCAATTAATTATTGGCTTGCTGTTCAGCCCCCCCCCCCCCCATGATATGCGCTTAAGAGGTTTGCATCTTCGTGGTTGGATGTTGTGAAGCCGTTAAGGTGACTTAATGTAGGAGGACTGTACCTAGGCACTCTAGTTCCGCCAATCTAGGCCAGTATCTGCAATAGATAAAGTCGGTTTTAATTCGGGCTCATATCTAAAAAAGTTGCGCAATCAAATGTGAACGCCACGCTTGCCATGGCAAGCATGGCTATCTTTCGTAGTGGCAGACCGTTTCGTGTAAGTTCACCCTAGTCCCGGCGCCAATGGCGCGGTTTCGTCGCGTAGGATGGTCCCCGCCTGTCGACTAAGGTAATCGAGAGCAGCCAATGATTTAGTCAATGTACAGAAACTATCTACTGCATAGTAGATCCTGTTCCCAGCTTGGCACTAAACTCTTTGTCCTTGCTCATCCAAAAGAGATAAGCCGCAATGACATGACCGACCAAGATAATCGGAAAGCCGGAGACTTGTCATCCCCACCTAGACTTCCCTTGATACCCCTTCCCCCCCTGCCAATGGTTTTCTTCATTAAATACGAGAGTACATAGTACTCACTGTGAGCCAGGGTGAGTATCTTCAACCCCGGGTCCCACTGATTAGAACGGAGCAAGATCACTGTTGCGTGGACAGAGGCGCCAATGGCGGTGGCACTATTCGTGCCTCCTCCAAGAAATGAACATGTTAGTAACATTAATTTGCCGATAAACATTGAGACGACTCGCCTTGCAGTAGACTCTACAGCTGTTTATGCGTTGGGTTCCCTTATAACACCTTAGACCAGCCAAGTCAGCTGCAGAGAACTCTCAAGTCCATTTGGCTATTGCCTTCCTTTAGCGATCAACATGTCTCCGGCTCAAATGTCTCAAGATAAGCCAATGGAGGACAATCGAAATGATCATCAGCTCTCAGCTAGTAACGGTTCCGAAGGCGAGTCGGCATCTACGGTATTGCAGGTAGAACGACACGACTATGTTGACCTTGCGCCAACGCATCGGAAGCGAGCGCATTCGATGAACGGGTTTGATGATATCTACACTGATATTGTCGACTACATCGTGCGATGCACACATCGGATATGGGACGAACGGGACATTGGCTTGATCTACACCCATTACACACACAACTGCACTTTGTATGGGACAATGGGAACGCTGTACGATCGCGAGTCCGTTGTACGCGATACCATTCAGCGGCTCGTCTCATTTCCCGAACGGCGAGGCATGGCGACGCAGGTGCTGTGGAACGGCAACGATAAGGATGGGTTCTATACCTCACATCTTGTGACTGGCTCCGGCCGACACACGCAGTTTGGTCACTATGGCCCGGCGACAGGGAGGACATTTGTCTCTCGCACCATTGCGGATTGCATGATCTACAGGAACCGCATTTATCGAGAGTGGGTTGTAGCTGACAACATGGCTATCATCAAGCAACTTGGTCTGGATGGAGAGGTGCTGGCTGAGGACGCAGCTAAAACCCTGTTTGATAAGGGACTCGAGGCTGTTGACATTGGCGAGAATCGCCGGCTGGTTGGCCAGTTGTCTCCAGAGGAAGAAGGCGATACCTCGATCGCAAATAACGACATCGAGACCGAGACACTTTTGTGGCTACATGAGGTTTGGAACCGCCGTATGTTCGGGCGTATCACCAAGGTCTACGCTCCCAATGCACAGTATCACGGCCCGAAGATGGTTGAGCTTTACGGCCCTGCCGCCGTTCTACATCAGCACCTCGGTCTGCTTGGCTCCATTCCCGATGCCGTCTATACACCCCAGCATATATGTTCCAACCCATGCGATGAAGGAGGTATCAAAGTTGCTGTGCGGTGGGTATTGGAGGGTCACCACTTGGGTTATGGACATCTGTCCGAGCTGGGCAAGCCTACGGGTCAGCGACTTCAAGTCATGGGAATTACGCACTATCATTACCGCAATGGCCATATCGTGGATGAGTGGAACGTGTATGACGAGTTTTCCTTGCTGACGCAAATCAAGCTCGGCAAGATGTTGAAAACCTAAAGAACAAAGTGAAAAATTGGAGTTAGCAATACAGATTAGAATTCTGCCCGAATCTTGCCCTCGCCTGTTTCCTTCTTCATGAGTGCGCTGGTGCTGCTACTGCTTTAACCTGTGTCTACGCCTTGCAAGCCTACAGGGGTTCGTTTCCAGACACCGTAACACTTTGGGTATCTGCTTCCTTGCCTTTATTTATCTTCTACTTAGGAATGACTTATCCGATTAATTCTACTTTTAACTACTATTAAAGACTACCTAGAATCTATAGAGACTTAAAGCGATATAATATTCTTTCAAAAGAGCTTAAGGAGTATAGTAGTAATTAGGCATTTGGCGAGAAACCATTCTTCTAGCTTATTCACTTCTGCCAGCAGGAGCTGTTATATACTCCCATCTAAAACCTAAGCAGCGTAGGTCATGCCTTCCTCTTAGATAACATCCTTCCGCCCTTAGAGTTATCTTTTCACATTCAATTCCCCAAAGCCATCTACCTCACCACAGCCCTCCTACAAAGCACACCCAGCCTCAAGCGTTGCGCAGCACCTGACCCTAAGATTCGACAGCCCCCCTAATATCATCGTGCAAGTAGCGTTTCCACAAACTATAGATCTCGTCGTCTTCATTCTTCGATCGAAAATCATTACTTCTTTTAGAGCTTCCTATAGATTGACTCTCTGGTGAGGGAAGAGGAGTGATCTGGGCCGGAGAAGTCTTAGAGAAGCCAGACTTATCCCGAGAGTACTATTTTGCAATCGGAGGTAAAGAAACGGACGACAACGACCTCTGTGTGTTCATGGAATACGTTCGCAGGTGTTATCGGACAACAATTCCCAACATTACCGCATCTCTTGCGACATCCCGTCTCTTCTTCCACCATCCTGTCGTCTCCACCAATCTAGAATTCGCTGGTAGGCTGGGACTGCTTTTTCTGTTTCTAGTTTTGGAACCAAATCGAGCGCTCGTGTAAACGTCTGCTGATACTGAGGAAAGTCTGCGTAGACATAGGGTTGCCACGTTCGGCTTACAGTATCTTCGTTAGGGCATTTTTCACATCGATCGGACGGGCGCATTAGTATCGCTTTTCGTCGGAAAGGGACGCCAAAGAAAGCGAACGGAGGCCTTTAACTCCTTAGATAGCTCATAAATATACCCACAGCCCTCAGGATCGATTCGACGTAGCTTTTTGTTTGCATATTCATTGAGAAAAACATCATGATTATACTGACTATTCTCAATAACAAGCCGAAAGTGTATCAACGGCTGCTATCATTCTGTCTCTGAGAGAAAAGGTAGAGCTGACAATGATCCCTATCATGCCTCAAGTACTAAAACACCAGCGAGTCCTATATATCCCCATTCGTCAGTATCAGACATAGGTTGGCTATACAGATTTACCTACCGACAAGCAGGCAGACAGACAGGCACACAGACAGACAGATGACCCAAGCCAAGCACGCCACGCCATACAAAAGTACAGACCGAGACAAGATTAGAGCATACAGCTTCTCCATTTGTTCTCAATCGTGGCGGCGACGGTGAGCGTCGTCATCGGTGCGAGCGAGGAGCGCGTCGCGGCCGCCAGTGAACCACACGGCAAGAGCTCCGGCAGTGGCGATGCTGCAGATGCCGAGCACGCCGGCGAGAGCCCAGACGGGGTGGCGCGCCATCCTGAGGTGGACGGCGCGGAGGGTGTCGCTGACCAGCGCCTCCGTCTTGTCCGTACGTAGGGTCCTCACGCAGACGGAGGACGCCGTCGTATGGATGACGACGCTGTCGGCCGGGGCGTTGGCCACAACGTCACTCTAGGACGGTGGGGCCGGCTGCACTGGGACGGCGCCTGTTTTGGTGCGATGTCAGCGGTCGGGGCATGACATGGCCGGAGAGTCAAGCATGAGAGGGAGGTCTTACGTCGAATGAAGGTGTCCAGGAAGTTGTGCGCCACGTTGTGAAGCATGCTAGGTCGCTTGGAGGTATCGATACAGATGATGACGTGCGAAGCCTGCTTGTCGCCCTGGCGATGATATGCTGTAGTGTTGACAGCAGCACGAGTCGTAATCGAAGCGGAACTGATAAGCGCGGAAGAGCTGGCGGAAGAGCTGAAGCGGGAGGCAGCTATGCGATGACCGTTGGCAGATGATGGAGTTGGTGGGAATCCGTCTGTGTCGATGTGACGGTGGAGATAAGAGTGATAGTAACGGTGGGTGCGGCCGGCAGTAATGCCCAGGCCGGCGGTAGGCGCCATCGCCATCACCATCGCCACGGTGATTGCTGCTCCCGGCTTCTGGTGGGTTTTGGTTTCCAAGTTTTTGTTTGTCGGATGTATGTGCTATCACGACATCGATGGGACTGTGACGCTGTTTATTGTGTGGGTTTTCTTGTCTTCTTGTCTTGGGGGAGACAAAAGACTGTCGTAACGACAAAGAAGCTATCAGGGAGAGAGGCCGGAGGCAGGAGATAGTCGACTGGCCAAGTGCACTTCTCTACTCACGTGACTTTCATTGACAGCTTTATAATTCGGGGCGGACTCATCGAAAACTATATAAAACATATCTGAATTATCTTTGGTTTTCTGCCAGTCAGATGCATCCTCTCTTCGCCATAGTTAATCTGAAACAGACATCATTTTCCAGAGACTTCCAAAGGCATATCTGGTGCTTAATATGCTGTGGAAGACCTCCCTGGCTGTTTTTTTGAACTGTTTATCGAAGAGAGGTGCGACAGTAGGGGCACAGAGTGCAGTCTTATGACAGCACTTCCAAATCCAAGGGTGCTAGTCTAGATAGGTGTCAACTTAGAGCATCATAGATTTATCTATGATGGGCGATAGAGGACGAAGCTAAGAAACGACTTTATTAAGCTTGAGTATAAAGTAATGTCTTTGTGTATCTATTAGGACACCGAAGTTGTTATGATCCTCATATGAGGTCATCTACAAAGGCAGAATTCTCAAACTATAAAAGGCCTCGGACGATAAGGGTGGTCTTTCGATGATCCTCTTTTGAGTTGAGGGCTTATATTATATTTCTCGTATGAGCTCGCCTCTAAGTCTAGGAACTTCAAATGATGATCTTAAAATTATGTTTCTCGTACGAGGTCTTTTCTCAGATGAGAACGTTTAAATGATTATCCTAAACTTAAGGTGGCAGTCTTCCGAGACTTCTCACATGAGATTATCTCTAAATTTAAAACCTACCCATCACCTGGACAGCTAAACTTCTCATGTGCCACCAAAAAGCCACCACTTTCTGTGTAAAAGAAACCGCCCACCAAGTTTTGTATTGTTATATAGTATATATCATTCGATATCTAATTGAACGCTTAATCCATATACCTCGCTGGTTTTCGAATTATACGACCAGGTCGTGCCGCAGCGGGGGCTTCCGCATCGTCTATAATTTCCCCTGCATCGAGATCCTCATCTTCTGACCCTGATATTTACATCTCAATCCAATTTCTTCTATGCCTGCCTAAAGTGGCTGTCAGACTTGCATGTTATGAAACGATTTCGTTGCCTTTCTAGGTCGGGCTATCAATGTGTTCCTAGGTCAAGTCAGGTGGCTAGATTACTAGCAAGTGAAGTCGATTTAGATAGAATCTTCAGGAGGTGTAGGTGGGTTCTTGTTGTGTATTGAGTTTTTGCTCGTGCTACGCCAAAAGTACTAGGTCTTACTGTAAGATAACTAAGTAAGTAATTTCTAAATGACTACGTGAACTTGCTCGTTATATGCTGACGCAATATGAGTTATGTTTTATCTAACACATGCTATAGACTAGAATAGTGTTTAATACATCTGCCTGTTCCTCATTTCAATAGGAAGGAAACATAGAAACACAGCCGAGAACCAGATGCCTCCAGCACCAAGCCATAGTACACCAGACCTACCCTCCGCGATATACTTCTGACCTGCAAATGGGGCAACAATACCAGCAAGGCGACCCAAACACGATAGCATTCCGCTCGCACTGGCACGATAGGTTGTGTCAAACATCTCTGGTGCGGATGCGTATAGAACGGCATTGAAGTACTAGTCAATTGTTAGTCGGTCAATTTTAACAGATGTATGCAGCAGCAACTTACGGTCTGCATAATGTACTCGAGGGCGTTGAGGCCGACATACCCCGCTGTATTATGGACTTGGGTGTACATAGCCATGGACAAGCCTTGCAAAAGGGCCGATATAACAAGAGACCATTTTCTGCCGATCAAGGGCAACTGTACCGAAAAGAGGGCAAGAATGGCGCCAATGATACCCGGCAGATAGATATAAACATATTGGCGGTAGGTATCGGTGACGCTATCGGTACCGGCGTCCACATTGTTGGCGAGCAGGATGATGGGAAGAAAGTATCCTGCCAGGTTGAACGACCAATAATTGCCCTTCTGGGGTCAGCCATGGTCAACCGTTTAAATATCAACCACTTACCATGTAGGCGAATGCTAGCAGAGTAAAAATAAAGCACTGAAGCTTCTGCAGAAAGAGACCTCGAAGAAAACCCAGATTCTTGATCGCTTTCGTGACGACTCGTTTGGCGTCAGAGTCTGAGCCACTTTGTGCAGTGGGATCAATACCAGCTTCACGGTCAACTTGCCGAAAGTCTTCGACGGTTAAGGTAGGCGCTGGAGTGCCGTTGAACTTGGCAATCTTGTGGAGGACATCAATGGCAGCTTGCTCTCTACCTTTGCTCACAAGGAATTTGGGGGATTCGTGAAATCGGAAAAAGACATATCGGAGGAAAAAGACAGCGAGGGTCATACTGCCAATGACAATCACTGTGTACCTCCAGCCCATGTTGCTCGATACAGTACAACAGGCTTCTCCATCGGCAACTGCACTGCAAGCTGGCAGCGTCACATCACATCGATACTTAGCCGCGGTGCCATAGGCGATAGCGGATGCGACTACGACGCCTACTGGTTGCCACATACTAAGCAAAGATACAAGATAACGGCGATTTTGAGGCATAAACTCGAGTGCAATCGTCGCATCTATGGGAATATTGCCACCCAAGCCGATACACGAGAGGAAATAGATGCCACATATGGCGCTGTAGTTGTACTTGCTCGTGGCCTAGACAGCAACTTCAGTCAGCAGAGATTACTTCTGTTGCCAAGTGTAGGCGGCAACACACCAAGAGCATGCCAAAAACCGACGTAATCAGACATGTAATGTTGAAAGCCCACTTGCGGCCGATGATGTCGGTAATTATGCCAAATGAGAAAGCGCCGACACTGCAACTTGTCAGCCCTGAATGAATCAACGAGAGAGGTTCCTCACGCAAGGCCAGCGTTCGAACAGGTAAAGATAAGTCCCTGCCTTCCTGTAGGCACACCCATCTCCTGGCTTGAGGGTGTAAGTAGTTGCACTAAGTGGACAGGCGGAATCTTGTCTCACAATATAGCAGAGGCAATCAGACCAACTCCTTGTGCCCAGGCTAAGTCAAGGAAGTAACCAAAACCGCACAGCAGCCAGATGCACCATTGATATTTGCCAAAACCAAACTTGTCAATCTCGCTAGGTACCAGAGCAATTCAGTCAACAATGGGTCTTTCAAGGGTGGTGCGCGACAGACTCACGCATTTATCAAGGCCGCTTTGCGCTCAAAGATAGTGAGCTCGTCACCAACAGTGACAGCAGAACCCTCGATGGCTTCGGTTCCATTTATCGAGCCGACATCACGCGTCTTGTTCGCACCTTCTGCCTCCATTTCTGGACTTTTTTTCTCCGAGATCAGATCGTGATGGGTAGCCATTGCCTGAGTGCGATACCTCCAAGCTTTGTAAAGCGTTGTGGAAGAGCTGAGAGTATTTGCTCACCGAGGGATGACTTTCTGGACATCTTATGCCTTTATGTTGACTTGAAGTTCTACTGCGCCTGTGTTCAACTTGCATCATGCCCTCTTGCTACGGTCATCGCATGATAACAGCCAATTGACCAATCGGAGTTCTTGAGGTTCCCTATCATTACTACCAAGATATTGAAGATCTTGAATGAACCATAAGCTTGCCTGGAGTAGTTAGTGCCGGCGCCAATGGCGGTGTCAAGGAGCCCTCTAGCGACTAGGATGTTAAAAATGGAACGATTTGCAGATATGGATTGCAAACTAAAGACAATCCAGGCAGACACTGCAACTAATAAGTAGACTAAAGCTTCAGACGCGTGCATGCAGATCATCTTGTACCCGGTACTTCACGATAAAGCTACCCTTGGAAGATAAAGAATACCCACCAAGTTGCTCTTGAACTAGGGAAGTTGTTGATCGGGACAATGATATCAGATCTAGTGTTTGAGCCCGCCCTTGGCGCCTTGCGTTTGGAGACTATCGTTTTCAGGTCATTGATGTGCTTAATATTCGGTCGCCATGATGACACTGAGTATCAAAGGCCGATTTCGCATGGCAGAGGCTTGCAGTTCTGCTTCAGTTCTGTCCATGGGTTTGATTATCCAAGACTGTCAAACCTTCCGATAAGATAGAAATGTTTTTTGCATAGGCCACAAACTTGACTTTCCTCATTGTCAGTCACGCCATTTCAACAATACACCATGGCACACCCTTTTGTGGCGGAATCCCATATCTTGCACCGCAACTTAGGGGCAGAGCCTCAAAGAGTTGTCGCTTCCAAGGGAATTCGTTTGATTCTAGAGTCGGGACAAGAAGTATTGGATGCTTCGGCAGGACCAGCAGTCTCTTGCCTAGGCCACTCGCGCAATGATGTGGCTCAAGAGGTAGCTCGCCAAATTACCGAAGTTGCATACGTTTACTCTGGCGCACGATTCACGACCACAGCAGGCGAGGAATTGGCGAGCCACTTGCTGAAGGACCGTCCCGGAGGGTTATCAAAGGCTATATTTGTGAGTTCAGGTAGTGAAGCTACTGACGCGGCGCTGAAGCTGGCCTTTCAGTACTGGCGTGAGGCTGGACAGCCACAGAAGCGATACGTTATTGCACGAAAGCAGAGCTATCATGGAAATACCATTGGTGCCTTGTGTGTGTCTGGACATGATTCACGCCGCGAGCTCTACAGCGATTGGATGTCCTCCAACGTGAAATTCGTCGATCCCTGCTTCGCCTACAGATTCAAGAATCCGGATGAAAAAGACAAAGAATATGTCGAGCGCCTTGAAAAGCAGCTTGAAACCCAGATTTTGCAGCTTGGTCCACAAAATGTTGCTGCATTCATTGCTGAGACAGTGAGTGGCACCACTTTGGGCTGTGCGACGGCGACGCAGGGATACTTTCAAGCAGTCAGACGGCTTTGCGACAAGTATGACATTCTCCTGATATTAGATGAAGTGAGCTAATACCGGGCATTTGAATATCGAGGGGCATATACGACGACTGACTTTTCGTGAATCTTAGATTATGTGCGGAATGGGCAAGACAGGTACAATGCATGCGTGGCAACAAGAGGGCATCCGGGGACCCGACATACAAACGATTGGCAAAGCCCTAGGCGGAGGATTTATCCCTCTATCCGGCGTTCTTCTGCATGAGAAGATTTTCGATGTCCTCGCCTCGGGTTCAGGCGCACTCGCTCACGGACATACGTTCCAGGTATCTAAATCCACTTTACTTACAGCATTGGTTGTACGCTGACAAGTGGCATCAAGGCCCATCCTGCTGCGTGTGCAGCTGCTTTAGCGGTTCAAAAGGTGGTTGAGAAGGACAATATACTTGAGAATGTCAAGCGAATGGGTGAAGTACTTGGACGACTGCTGCAAGCTGAGATCTCCCCTCTCCCTCTCGTAGGCGATATACGAGGCCGTGGTCTCTTCTGGGCTGTGGAGTTCATGCTGGATGGGCCCGGGCGCATCCCATTGCCGCGCGAAGCAAAGTTCTGCGACCGAGTTGTGGACCGCGCTCTTGAGCTTGGGTTGAACATCTTGGGTAACCTGGGGGTCACGGGTGAGGTCTATGTAGACCACATCATCATCTGCCCACCATACATCGTCGAGGAAGAAGAGCTTCGGGCTATTGTAGAGCTTCTAGCTCAGGCTATCAGTGAGGTTACGCTCGAGCTAGGTTCGTGGATTCGCAGAAACACAACACCTGTAATAAATGGTTCAAAGCCACAAGAGTAGCGAGGCGTATTGTTGGTCGCATAAGGAGGAACTTTCAAAGGAAGATACAAAAAGCTGCGCATTGCCATTGTTCTTACACCATTAAGTGATTTGTGCCATCAATATATTATCTACTGCAGAGTAGATAATCCTAGCAAATTACAAGAAGGATCATTCCGGCCATATCGTAGTAGGTTCAGAATCGATGTCATCCTTGCAATGGTGTCTGGTGGTGGTTTCAAGACTATCGTACAAATTGGTCTGCAAAGCCAGCTCCCAGTCCAACAGCCTCGTAATGTTTTCTCGCCGCCTGCAACTTGCTAAAGACATCCTCCACTCCCGTAGGGTTACCATCAGGATCAACATAGATGTAGGCACCAGTAACGTGAAATAGTGTCACCATTTCTTCGACATCGTCAGGTACTTCAAGGGTGTGGATGTCGCCCGGTGGCTCAAAGGCGTAGCCACCCTCTGTTGCCCACCATGTATGCTCTAGATAGTGCCATCGGCCTCGAAGGACTATTGCATGAACAGGCCCAGCATGGCGGTGTCTTGATAGTATGCCTGACTTTCGCACGCGAAGAATGTTGACGAAGTAGCCCTGTGATACGCTGAAGCAGAGTGGTCGAAACCAAACATCCGAGCTCTGAGGTACCCATAATCGCTCATCGCAATCGAAATCTAGAATGTTTGGATGTACCAAATCTTCAAGTACGTTGGGGAGTGGCTCGCCTCGATAAGGGATGGCAACTTGATCATGTTTGTTCGTTGTAGCTAAAGAGTCAGAACCGCCGGACATTGTAAAGTAGATTGTGTATTTTCAGACGGCTAATCCGGATGCAAATGAGAAGACTATCTCGCAGAAGATGAACCAGTGCTTTAAAAGCTTTAGCTAGGAGTTGAGGAGCTGATTAAAGCCGTGATCCAACTACGTAAGTAAACACTACTCGGTATGTTACCGCAACCCCCCGTTCGAAGTTAGCTCGTGGCGCCAACGGCGGTGGGTGTGGCACCAGTAGCTTATCGTATGTACATTTACTTGTACAGATAGAACACGCATGCAATCCATCCTGGGGCATGCCAGAATCTATACATTCCGACAGACCGGACTAGTCTTAGGTTTCTAGGTTCTTCCTCCTGGGCTTGGCCGCTGACACTGTAGATAGCGGCGTGGGCGGCGCACCCTCCCAGCTGCTGATTTCTCTCGCTCCACCGATTTCGACCCGCCCATGGGGCATATTTATGATGACGAGCATTGCACCGCCAGAAGCGCCCGCCAGCTCAATGGATGCTCCAGCGTTGCAGCATCTTACAGATGCTCCTCTCCGGGCCCCCAAGTCCCGCCAGGGATACACTCGACAGCGTCAGGGATGTCTGACTTGCCGACGAAGGTAGGGGCTGTAAACCCCGCATTCTGTGGCGACATGTGTGATCCGTCACTGCGAGCACAGCGCTGACTGCTATAGAAAGAAGAAATGCGATCGTTCCTATCCACTGTGCGGTCATTGTTACCGCCTGAATCTGGCCTGTGAAAGAGAAGAACCTAGGCGTGTCGGTCCAAGTCACACCACGGACACGTCGAGGAAACGAAGGCTATCAACCGCACTGGCAGACCAACATGACGGCCATGTTGGTAGGATATATGCTGCCATCGATTATACTGTCCTGCGAGACGAGACGTCTCATATGGATCTCGTGTCTAGTCGTAGAGCCATCCTGAGATACTACACGACGGTTTTCGCATCATTGTTGTCAACAAATCACGAGAACAACTGCTTTTTGTCAGGCAAGTGACAACCACAATCTTGAGACTTCCCGGGGTTCTAACCAGCTTGTAGTCATGCTACCGATGGCCTTTGAGTGTTCAACTCTCATGAAATCACTAGTGGCATGGGCCTCGTCACATCTTGCAACTCGAGATGCTAGCTTGGAGCACACCGCTCTAGAACATCGCGGCTCTGCTCTAAACGCACTCAAGGCGTCCATCGACCAAAACGAACTCTCGTCTGAGATGTGTTTGGCGATAGCCATGGTGTTCTGCTCCATGGATTCCATCTCTGATATGAGTGGATCCTGGTACCATCATCTTCTCGGAGGCGCCGCAGCTCTCGGACAATCAGGCGGTGTCTCCAGCTCGTCTGAGCTTAAGAATCCTATATCTGTCCATGCTCAGTTGTCACGCATCGAGGGAGCCTGGTTACTACGAAACTTTGCATACCATGATGCTCTCATGAGCGTCACTCTGGATTGCCGGCCACTCATAACAGGACATTACTGGGCGACAACTGATTCAGCTTGGGTAGACCCGTATTTTGGACTCGCGTCACGCATTATATATCTCATCTCACAGATAAGCGTGTTGTGTGCAAATTTAACCCAGTCAGTGGGATCATCAATCGACCTTCCCAAGAGTACTTATATCGCCCATGGTCCGCCAACAGTCGAAGCAAGCGCCTCAAAAAGTCACCCATCGGCTCAACTGCAATTCGAACCGAGCTCATTTGCTGATGCTTATGACATTGAGGCTGAGCTGCTCAACTGGAATTGCCCGGATGGATTTGTGGATTCGCCTCTGGGCTTGCTCGCCGAAGCATATCGCAGTGCAGCTCTGCTACACCTCTATCGTACGTTGCGACGGCACGAGGCTGATGTCAATGGACAATTAAGGCATAAAATCTCACAACAAGTGAGCTCAATTTGTGATATTGTTGCCCAAATGCCCGATGGCTGTCTAGAAGAGTGCACTCTCTTGTTCCCACTCTTCATTGCTGGGGGGGAGGCGGTCTCGTCAACTCATATTGAGTCTATATGCAAGAAAATGGAGATGATCAACCAATACCGCCACTTCCGAAACGTTAACCAAGCCCTCGAGGTGCTTAACGATCTTTGGCGGCTGAGATTTTCTGGTGCTTCAGGCACCAACAATAGAGAGATAGACTGGCTGGACATTACCAAGTCTCGCAATATCAAGTTAGCGATCACATGAAGATGTAGCTCGCAAGGTCAAGTGTATCTTAGTATCTTGAATTTTGTATCGAAGCAATACAGTGATGACCTCGCTCCCTAGATTGAGGTGAACTTGCCAAAATGAAGGATTTCAAGTCGAATGCTATTTGGGAAGCTTCCTTCGACCACAGTGTCCTGTCAGCTTTCCTCCAAGCAGCGCAATGCAACGTCATCACTCGAAGTCCGATAGATCGAATTTGGTTGCCAGTGGCAACATAATATCCTGAATTTGCTCTCGAATCGCCTCAATGAGATCCTGCTCTTCAGTCCGAAGGTCCCCACGAGGTCTCCGCTTTAGAATCAACTCAAGTATTGAAGCAGTCGTGAAAAGCTTGGTATCATCCGCTTCGTCTAAATTCGGCGGCATAACGCGTTTGATCAAGACACCAGCTGGCGAATCGAGCCTCGCACCGTACTCTAAGAGAAGCGAGATGAGCCGAAGCCATTCTAAGAAGGTGCCAACCCCAGAAAGATTTGAATCAAGGTCCTGGATCCCGCCCCGCCAGGTCAGGGGATGTATGGAAAAATCCTCTGCCGCAGAGTTTCTGAACCGAAAAAGGGTTTTAGGCTTGTATTTAATTATGAAGGATGCTGGCCAAAACCGATAACCCGCTTCTACCAAGTCATTCCAAACCGTGTACTCTTTCCCGTCGTTCTCAAGATTGTTCCGTGTCCCATATCTCAACATGATCTTATTTGGAGAGGCTCCGCTTGACAAGATCACGGCGACAACACGTTCGTTGGCTCGCAGTGAAACGATCCCGTCTTCATTGTAGACACTGAAAGCAGACGCGAGGAGATTTTGTGCAAGCCCTATCCTTTCGACTGGGGATTTTGACCATAACTCGTATTCAATGTATTTGGCAAGATCATATTGGGTTGCATAAGCGTTGAAGTTACTGAAATGGGGTGAAAAATAGCGTATTGGTGGATGAACATTGAACCACAAAGAAAACACCTCTGCCGTAGCTGCTGGCATCCAGGAATGGAATCCATCTTTTGCGGCAGCACCCGTTTTGAATCGACTGGTTAAAGCATCTTTTGAAGTTCTGCAAGCCTCATCGAAGTGTTTTATTAACCTTACATAAGCATCAATGTCTTCAGTCCGTTTATCAACTTGAGACAGATGATACATTGTGTCTTGAATTGAGATCAAAGGTCGATTGACTCGTATCCAATTACTGTCGAAAGATTGGGGCAGATCGACCACATCCAACAATCGAATAAAATCAACGGAGCCTCTGACGAGAGCTGACGGTATAATGCAGCTCTGACTATCTCTGGCAGAGCCGTAGATGGTTGTCCAAACATATTGGCGGGAGATAAACTCTTTCGCTGTCTGATGCATGAACTGGACCTCGGGACCAGCCTCCAAGAGTCCCGCACACCGGCTTCTCAGTCTCCGGGCCTTAGATTCGCAATGTGTCTCGAACTCCTTGAGAGACATGCGAGTATGATGTTGGTGTGCTCCTACGGACGCTGAAGTATTTTCCCTGGGGCCACAAAGGAATTCTGCAGCCTTAAAAAGATGTGCTATATGAAGGGGATTTTTGGCGTTCAATACAATCTCGAATATCTTTGATGATTCAGCCTTATGATTGTCCAAAATGTGTTTAATCATAAGCATGTAAAGTCCATTTTTCCCCCCTAGTCGATCTGGGACAGCATTCAAGGTTGCCCATAGCTCATCGGGTGTGTCTCCATTGATGCATCCATCTATCAGCATGTCAATCACAAGTTTGACCCAGAGGAAAACACCGGCAGCCCTCGTAGTAATAGCTTTCGCGAACGACTCCATGTCAGCAAGATCAGGTGCTTCCTTGGATAGGCGGCCTTGGCAAAACATATGAATATCGCTCCTGGTGTGATTGTGCACTTTGATTCTCGGCAGACCTCGAAACTGATTTTCGAATACAGGGACTTCTCTGCTTGAGAAACAAGTTCTCACGAGCTTGTTTGACCTGAGTTTTTTTACAAACCTGGCGATTTCATAGTGACCACCGACAATCCATCGGCTCGTTCCCCATGCTGCATCATTGTTCTCGCCATCGTAAATGAGGTCGAAGTCTTCTTCTGTGTAGGAGTCTATTCTGTCGATGATACGATATTCATCAAGGCCATCCAGGAATAAGAACAGTTTCGTATGTCGTCGTTCCAGGATGTGAAGAACCTGGCTGAACTCCCATTGTAGGCTTTCCCAGTCCAGGTCTATAAACGTGCGACTAGGAAAGGTTTCTGCGATCAAAGTTTTATCTGCTGACAAAATCTGATAGAGAAGGCTTCTAAGCATTCCTTCCCGCGATTTCTGCAAATTCCCCCCACGCTCATATATGAAGAACGTAGCAATTATGTACGATGAGTTTGAGCTCTCGGGGATGTTTCGGATAAGGTGACTCT